GAGCTTTACTGCCCTTCTCCCCACAAGCATGTCTGGATAGTGGTGAATGCTGATGGTATACATTCATTCATTTAACATTCAGCTGGATATGTTTCTTATTAGGGGTGATTGGGGTTTACGGTTAGAACAAACCACTGTCCTGAAGTATCACAGTTTATAACTTGTCCTGCACCAAATGTGCTAAAGACATGAATGATGTTTTAAACTGTTGAGAACTATATTACGTTTCTAATTAATTGTGACTTGTTTTGTTAATAAAACAGATGGGGAAACTTACAATGAAGGAGTGACCTTGGTCATAAAAAAAAAACTAAAACCTTTAATGGGCCAGTAGGCAAAATTCCCAGCAACTGTATAGCACCATGGCAAATAAATAAGTTTGTTTATTTATTTATTTTGCTTGTATGTTTTATTAAAGCTTACGCTAAAAAAAGAAGTCAATTTTACAATGCACAAAACAATTATAATTAACAGTTTATAAAGAGAAAGAAATTAAATGCCAATTTTTTTTTTTTTATTATGCACTATAAGCAATTATATACATATTTTAAATGAATATCATTTGTTTGTACTTGATATTGTCACAGTTATGTTCAGTTTCTCTTAGTTATCATGGACTTTTAGTTTGTATTCATTCATTCTGATGTGTTCCTTTTGACTTTCCCGCCACTCCTTTGTTACCATGGTCACTGTCATTATGAGTTCATGTGAATCAGCTGTATATTGTTAATTTGTTTGTATTCACTACTTAAGTTTCTCCTTCATTGCTTAAGTTTCTCCTTCACTTAAGTCTAAGTTAAGTGTGTTGTTTCCATATTCGCATGTCATTTGGATTATTGTTATTAAAGCTTTGTGTTGGAACATTCTTCGTCTGTTTAACTGCAACCGCCTGGGACAAGTATAACTTTTAACTGATTATTAGCAGCCCTTTATATTTTATCTGTTGAAGTTGATTATAATTATGTATAATGACCTTTTCAAACTGAGCATGTGCAGTCTGTCACAGTTAAATAAGTTCCTTATTGTTTAAAATGGTCTTTTGTTCATTATATTGGTCAATCAACTGTTAAAATAGTGTTTGTCTATCAATTTAGTATATGCAGTGTATACAAGAAAAGCTAATGGTTTTTTTTTTAAACTGTTGAATATTTATAATCTCTTGTTGCATTTATTTTCTTTGACTAGGCTATATGTTAGAATAAACTGAATATTTCTGGTTAAGGTCAATCTTTTTCTCCGTAGATTCACTATGGATTAGTTTGGTCTTAACTCTTGATGTCATCTTGGGTCCCAATATAAATATAATGATCAGATTATTTTAATGAGAGGGGAAATCATCAGGAACATTTAACCAAACAATAAAAAAAGCTTTTGAACTTGAAGAATTTGGTGGGGGGGAAAGCACTTGAAACCTTATTGCAGCTTTGGGAGGCTTTGACATTCTTTATTTTCAAGTCCATAGCAAATGGCCTTCAAATATTGATTTTGATGTCTGGGCAAATTGCCCAGAGTTATGTGTGTCCCCTTTTATCAAACCAGCACAGCACACAAAACTCCATTCCACATAAAATGGATCACTGGGCTGATTATGGTGAAGTATGAATGAAGAGGGATGATACATCAGCCATTGAGGATACAGATGCACACAAACACTAAGCCGAGACGGATCGGTGCGTGTGTATGCGCGTATATCTAATCACTTATTGGATTGTTTGCTTACATGCACCTCCCATAAAAATCTAATCGCATTTCACTCGCATTCAGTTTGAAATCTGTCAATGAAAACAAGACATGGAGTCCAATGTATGTTAATACATTTTAATTGCAAGCACATCCACAAATTATGACGCATATTTTGTAAGCTTAAAGTGGAATGTGTGATGGAATACAAAAAAAGTTCAAAGTGCAGCCCTCCATTTTTAGCTCATTAGGTGACGATGTCCTCCGCACCACATGCTCATGTAAGAGCCCTAAACACACACTAGACAGATGGAGACAAGAGCTCAGCATCATGCCTGCAGACATCTTTAACCCCTCTGTACTGCCATTACATACTAATGAGATTACATGAACTGCTAGTTTTGGGAGGAGTAAAAAAGTGTGAGGTGGAGGAATATGTCTGCTGCAGGAAAGGAAACTAATATGTTTTTTGTTATATTAGTGGGCCGTCTGGAGTTGTGAATGGCTACATAGATGTCATCCATACTTGTGTGTTTTTGTCATTTCGATACGGCTGTTCTCCTAAGGCTCTCATAAATCCATTATACATATATCCTTTATGACAAAAGGGCCTTGACTTCAGGGACGTTTCACAATGGTTTGAATGCGGGCTCGCATACATTACCGTTAATGAGGCTAGAGAACAATGTAAATACATCAATCTCGTCAATGTAATTATGTTCTCTCAGCCCTGGAATAAAAAAAAAGGAGAGAGATTACATGGAGCCCCTGCTGATTAAATTAATTATGCTAATAAACTGTTGGTCTCCCATAGGTATTAATGAGCTGTATATATGAAGAGTGACTACTATTACTCCAACTTAAATCAACCTCATAAACAGGTTTTTGAAGATGCCTATACAATTCAACAGTTCTGCTAGTCTTCAAATTAGATTCTTCAATTTAGATAGCAATACATTTCACATTTACATAAGAACACACTGAGATAGATAGATAGATAGATAGATAGATAGATAGATAGATAGATAGATAGATAGATAGATAGATAGATAGATAGATAGATAGATAGATGGATGGATGGATGGATGGATGGATAGATGGATGGATGGATGGATGGATGGATGGATGGATGGATGGATGGATGGATGGATGGACAGACAGACAGATAGATAGACAGATATGGATGGACAGATGGATGGACAGATAGATAAACAGATGGACAGACAGACAGATAGACAGATATGGATAGATAGATAGATAGATAGATAGATAGATAGATAGATAGATAGATAGATAGATAGATAGATAGATAGATAGATAGATGGATGGATGGATGGACGGATGGACGGATGGATGGATGGACGGATGGATGGATGAATGGATGGACAGATGGATAGATGGATGGATGGATGGACAGATAGATAGACAGATAGATGGATGGATGGATGGATGGATGGATGGATGGATGGACGGACAGAAAGATAGACAGATCTGGATGGACAGATGGATGGACAGATAGATAGATAGATGGATGGATGGATAGATAGATAGACGGATGGATGGATGGATGGATGGATGGATGGTGGGTGGGTGGATGGATGGTGGGTGGATGGATGGATGGATGGATAGATAGATAGATAGATAGATAGATAGATAGATAGATAGATAGACGGATGGATGGATGGATGGATGGATGGATGGACAGACAGAGAGATAGACAGATATGGATGGACAGATGGATGGACAGATAGATAGACGGATGGATGGATGGACAGATGGATGGACAGATAGATAGACAGATGGACAGATATGGATAGATAGATAGATAGATAGATAGATAGATGGATGGACAGATGGATGGATGGATGAATGGATGGACAGATGGATGGACAGATAGATAGACAGATAGACGGATGGATGGATGGATGGATGGATGGACAGATAGGTAGACAGACAGATAGACAGATGGATGGATGGATGGACGGACGGATAGATAGATAGACAGACGGATGGATGGACGGACGGATAGATAGATAGATAGACAGACAGACAGACAGACAGACAGACAGATAGAGCGATATCTCTGTTCCTAGTTTAGTTCCAGTTCAGTGTGGTTTGTGGTAAGTGTGAAGTGAAGGATCTCTTCAGGCTTTGATTGATCTGTGGCAACATAATCAATAATACTGTCCTGGCAACAGAATGCTGTGAGGGTTTTTCCTGGCTGAGGAGCTTCCGTTAGTAACTTATAGGATATGCTGCCATCTTGTGATCACTATAGGTCCATGATCTTGGAATGAAATGTTTATATCATTTTACTAATGTTTATATTCCAAACACCTTATATTTCCTTGATGAAGAATTGTTCAATTCTTTAAACTCCCTCTGTGTTTTATATGATCTCATAAAAAAAGTTAATTTAACGAATGAGCCGTACAACAGTTTACAGTAATTGTTTCTTGAGACCTTAGTTGTCTCATCAAAAAAAAAAAAAAGGAGCCACACTTTTGTTTTCTGGGATAAATATGATGACAGAGATAATCCCACACAAATTGATTTTAGGTGTGTATATATTAATCACACTATTCCTGAATATTCCTTAAATAACAACAACAACGACAAAATCTTTTTTTTTGCTTCTTTAAATGACAATGTAAATTCAAGAGTGATGCATAAAATGAAGGCAAATATAAACGAGTGTTTCTGTATGTAGGTTTTGGGGACATATCTGAAAGAAAAAAATATTCCAAAATAAAGTAAAAATGTACTTATAACATTATACATTATATATAACATTGTATAACAATGTACATTTAAAAAAAATACAACTTTTCTTGGGGTGGTAGGGTTTGAGGTAATGTAGGCTACTTCAAAGAACCTCATGTGTGTCCAGTAATAATAATAATAATAATAATAATAATAATAATAATAATAATAATAAAACATCGTAATGCCATGGCAAAATCCAAAAATGTATTATTTGCATGGGATAATCTAGCCTACTAAAATGGTATTTTTGTTAGCTATGCAGACAGCTGGAATAGTCCATTTTTTAAAATAATTTTAATAAAAAAAATGACACAGAGCCTGAAAAGAATGTAAAGAAAAATGTCATTCATATGTTTTGGCTTTCACAACGTTTCACAAACAGAACTGGAACAGCATGTTTAGCTGGTAAATGACCAGACCACAAAAGTGTGTAAATCTTGATATAATGGCTCCTGTCGGAATCAGGTCGGAATGCGCTCTTAAATGACAGGAAATGCAAATAAGGTAAACCAGAGTAACGTCACTGAGGCAAAGCGGCCAATCAGAGCGCAGGATTTGTCACTCGTATCGAGGAAGTGGAAGATGCGTTGAACGCACGCCCGATTTCAGTATCTGACAGAGTAAATTCTACATGTTCAATCACTTATAACCTCCCTCAGAAGTGATGGATTGGTCAGAAGGAGACGGAGTAAGAGAGAAAATGTTTATATTCTTTTTTTGTTACGTCGTTAGATGGATTTATAAGAACAGTTAAGCTAACTTAGCATCATCTGCTAACTGATCACCTGTGTATACGTGCTGATCGATTCAAGGCGCACTAAGTCATTAGATTTGACCTGTAAAACAAACCGTGCCATGATCATTGCCTTTAATAATCTATTATTGACCATAAATATGGGCTACATATTGAACATTGGTTTTGCAGTTTTTTTAGCTCATTGGAAGGTTAGATCGTCAGATTCCAAGTTCTAACCACTAGATAGAAGCAATTCAATTGTTTACTAACAACAAAACAATGCTGAATTGAACAAAATTGCTGTCTGTTATTTAAATGTGCGCGTAACATTTTTTGCTAGTTTAAAAAGTTTTGCATATAGAGAAAATTATGAAATATCATTAAAATGATACATACTTGACATAAAGACTCCAGACCTATCAGATCTGTTTTATTTTACATGAAGAGGGTCTCTCCCTCATGGGCGCTGACATGTTGTTATCACATGACCAGCCTTGTCATGCACTTGTCACAATAACAACTACTACTATTAATATCAATAATCAGTTTGCCCTTTCTGGCGATTATTCAATTGGTTAATTATCACAAACTATTTGCATTTTGTGTTAATTTTTTTAATCAGTCAGAAATAGCCTGTATTGTTTTGTTTTACAGGGCCACTCCCATGGTCACATGGGTGACAGTTGCCATGGACACGGTGGTGGTCACTCCCACAGCCACGGTCACGGTCATGGAGGTCCTGGCTTTGGTGGTTTCATGCCCGGCAGCTTCCAGGGCCCGGGACCTCTTGATTCCACGCAGCAGCCGAGGAAGATCTCGCACCCTGAGGACAGCAGTTCCTGGGATATAGTCAAAGCAACACAGTAAGACTTATTCCCTTGAAATGCAATAAACATTAATGGGATTACACTTTAGCATCACTGGGAATACTTAACAGCTGGTGATGTTATTAAGATACCCTGGAGATTTTTGGGCACAGCTTTGGACTCAAAGTATTTGTGCAATTCTGTGAATTTAAGCATGAATCTCAAAAAAAATGATGTTCTAGTCAGGATAGTGTTGTCAAAAATATCAATATTTCGATATGTATCGACACTGAAATATCTGAAACGATTCCAATACTCCTTTCTGCAGTATCTAATCGATACACCGATACCAGTTGCGCTTTCTTGCTCTCTCCTCTCCGACAGTGAGTTGACACACATCCGCCTCCTCTCATTCACTCCAGTTAAATAGTGTTGATGTGACTGGGTCTGAATTTCGGGACGGGATTGCGCATAATTCTACTCATTCCCGCAGATTTCGCACTCACATCTGCAGCGCGCACACATAATTGTGCCAAAAGTGCCAAAATGAGCTCTTTTTCGCAGCTTATTAATGGTCAAATACATGGTCAATAATGTCACAATGCCTACTTGGTGAGTTTTATAGTTTTATTACTGTTTACTTGTCTTTTTAAAATTCAATTTACCATTTAAAACCAAGCTTCCTTGTGCTGTAAGCTATTGCAACATAATTACACCATTGTAAAAACAAATACATTGAGTTAGCATTAGCAAATATTTGTGAGATAATTGTAATGGTAATTGATCAATGTTTATGAATAAAGCTTAAAAGCTTTATCATGTAAGACATTTTTGATTGCCTAGACTTTCAATAGATGGACAAAAAAATAAATAATGTTAAATATATCTGTATGACAGTATATGCAGCGTTTTTCCCCTGTGGTATTGAAAATGGTATCGAATATCGATTCTTTTCAATCGTATCAAAGTTAGAAATTCCAGTATTGTGACAACACTAGTTCAGGACATGTTTTACTCCCATTATTCTTAATGGTGATTCTCAGTTTAAAAAATGTATTATAATTATATGCCATTTTAAAATGTAAGTCTGCATATAATGTACAAATATTTTTAAATTGAAGTAATGTATCATTATAATTTAAAATGTGTATTTTATATTATTTTACATACAATGCTGTTTAAAAAGTTATGGGTTGGTTAGAAGAATTGTTTTAATGTTTTTGAAAGAAGTCTCTTATTCCCATCAAGCCTGCATTTATGAATGTTGAAAACTGTTGTTCTGCTTAATATTTTTGTGCAAAATCTTACTGACCCTAAAGTTTTGAATGGTAGTGCTAATATTAACAGACGGGGATTCACAGTTTTACACGATTTTGTTTTTATTTACAATAATAGTTATTGTGCTTAATTGACAAGTGCTTAAACATTTTAGTGGCATTTCAAGCAAGTGATGCGTATGTTTTAGATCATACTCTTGAGATATAGCTGTTCAGTAGTGAGTAGAAAGATTCATTAATCCTCCCTTTTTAGAGAAGCAGACAAAACAGGAGTGATATTATAGAGTACAAATACAGGCTATGATTGTGCTTTTGTAATATCTGGGTTTCTTTTAACTCAAGCGGCTTCCATATTTGTTGTCTCGCCTGCATGCTTCACACTGCTCGAATACTTCATTTCCATTAGAGGATGCATATCTGTTTTACAACTTGTTCAGGCAGAACCTGATGTGTATGTGGGTATACACATGATGCAAAAATAAACAACATTTTTCCATTATTTGTTTAAAATTGCAGGTTTGGTGCTCTTGAGAGGTGTAAAGAACTTATAGAGGCTGGTTATGACGTCAGGCAGCCTGACAAGGAGAATGTGACGCTGCTCCATTGGGCTGCCATCAACAATCGAGCAGATATTGTCAAGTAAGATTGGTCTATTTGTGTTTCTGTTGTTCAATGCCTTTTTCATGGAGTTATAAGTTGATTTAGGAGGTTAAGGCTCAAGGTAGAACTGCATGTTTCTGGATAAATTGATCACAATTTGAACTAGAGATCGCTATTCTCCTAAACAAAATAACGTGATTTACTATAGGTTCTGACCAATTTAATTGCTGCAGTCCATTTTAAAGATATTAAATTAATTCGAATTTGTTGAGTGAATGATTCAATGACTTGTTTCATTACTGAATGAATCTGCGTTTTTTTTTTTACCAATTCTTGAATGAATGATTCAATGGCAAATAAAGAAATGTAAGTCACTTGTCGCCACCTACAATTGAGATAAACAATCTTTATTTGAAGCGTAAGTTACTTTCAAAGTGTTTTACTCTGTTTTGATAGATTATGTAGACATTAGTGTTTATATCTTTTGTTTATATAGTGTTTGTACTTCGGGACAAAAATGTCCCGAAGCGTTTTTAATTTTTTTTTTGAAAATTGTAGCTTCATCGGAATGGTCCGAAACTTGGTGACTTTTTTGGTACTTGGTATATGAACACCCAAATAAATTGGGGACAGGATTTGAAAAGTCTAAGTGGTCGTAAAAAAAATAGTCACACTCAGGACCTTCGGGTCAAAAATGACCCCCATAGGAAATGAATGGGAAATTGGCAAAAATGTGAAAATACAGAGTTTTTTTGTGCATACAATCTACAAAACAGCCAGGATGCAGAAAAAAAGCACACAACAGTGAAGGGGTGAATCTCTTAAAACAATGGGTGACAAAATGTTTTCCATTTGTTCTCTTTATAATGCAATGTTCACGTTTGACTGTATTATAAAGTAAAACTGCCACTTCAAATTACCATTTAAACCAACCCACAATTTTTTTTTTTTTATTAAAAAAAATGACAAAAATAGTCTGAGAATCTGTTATTATATATTCAAATCAACAACCTGAAAAAAATGAAACAATATGTGAAAAAATCACTAAAGTGTTTCTACCATAGGTTTCTACAGAGAGCTGTAAATCCACTAGTGGTAAAAATGTGCTATTGCGTGATAAAAATGCCCAGTGTGTCCACCAGATGGCTCTGATCTCATTTCAAAAATTGCTTTCATGAGGCCTAGACTTGACTCTAAAATGAAATACAGCTTTAATATTTTTTTTTTTTAAATTATAGGCCTATATATATATCAATTTTCTATTATATTCAATGGGAAAAAATGGGTCTTAATTATTGCATAAATATTAATTATAAATCATAAAATTATCTCAAAACACCAAAAAAGAAAAGAAAAAATATTATTGAACAAAAATATATTTCATTGATTTTACTCAAATAAAATGTATCTTAATGCCGCCCTCCGGGTCATTTTTGACCCGAAGGTCCTGAGTGTGAGTCTAAAATGAAGTACCCCAGAGGGTTAACGATTAATCGTGCAGCTCTAGTTCAAGGTTATAGATCACTTTAAAATAGGGATGTACAATATATCGGCTACCATATAGGTATGTTAATTTTTTATGTTACCGTTATCGGCCCGATAAGGCAAATTTGTCCGATTTCTTGAAGCCGATAAATAATTGATTATTGCCTTCAGCTGAGACACTTCAGATGCGCACTGTTCACCGTGGTAGTTTTGTATTGCTTGAAATATGATTGAAATCACTTCAAAAAGAAAACATCGGTTAAGTGCAACATGATAATCGTGTGCTTTTAATCGTGGCTTTTTGGTTTTTGTAATCAGGCTCTCAAAAATTTTGATTGGATTTAGATTTATCAGCCAATATATCTGTTATTGGCTTTCAAATGTAGAATTATCGGTTATCGTTCCAGCCAAAATGTTAATATCAGTGCATCCCTACTCTTAAATGTTATAACACTTCAAATCAATTCACTGGAGTTTATTAAACCTGTTCTTATTTGTGTGCGTATGTTCCACTGTATTTCATAGATACTACATATCTAAAGGTGCTGTCATAGACCAGCTAGGCGGTGACCTGAATTCTACACCACTCCACTGGGCCATACGGTGAGATACATCCCCAGCTGAAATAGAGATCATTTTGCAATGACATACCATGATGTCCTATTTAATGTAATGACAGAAGAGCTGACATCCGCATTCATACATCATACAAGTCACTAAAATTTCAGTTGGTTAAATGTCATTGCAAAAATGGCTTTGAAAAATGTTGATTCTAGCCGCATTTGCTTAAACTTGTCAGTGTTTTATATCTCCCGATGGTGTTCTTTGTCACCTCTGAACAGGCAGGGTCATTTGTCTATGGTCATTCAGCTGATGCGTTATGGAGCCGATCCATCATTAGCAGATGGTGAAGGGTATCGCAGTCTCCATCTGGCTGTGCTCTTCCAGCATATGCCCATCGCTGCCTACCTCATGGCCAAAGGACAGGTGTGACACACACAACACACACACACACACACACACACACACACACACACACACACACACACACACACACAGTGACATTTTAAATGACGATAAAGGGTTTGAATACTGAGTAATGCCGTTGAATACACTTCTTGTTCCTGTGTTGTTGCAGGAAGTGGATACACCGGACATAAATGGACAAACCCCACTGATGTTGGGGGCACAAAAAATCATTGGGTAAGACGACCAGTTGAATAATGATACAATTAATACAAAGTTAATGTTTTCCTGTATTATGTTATAATATTTCCTTTGGCTTTAGTACAGTAACAGTCAATTCTAAAAGTCCGTCATTTCATTTAGCAAACATTGTTATCATGTCATATTTGATTAAATTATTTTAGCGAAAATTTTTATTTTAGTATATATTTCAAATAAATGCTGTTTGTTTTGACTTTTTATCAAAGAATCTTTGATAAAAGGTGTTTCACAGTTTCTGAAATGGTTTCAACATTGATAATAATCAGAAATGTTTCTTAAGCACTAAATAAGCATATTAGAATGATCCTCACAGGAATATATTAAATTTTAAAATATATATTGAAAAAGAAAACAGTTTAATATTGTCAGTATTATTTGTCATAATATTTCACAAAATAAAAAAATTCTTAATATTTTCATGTTTTATAGTCATCTTTTTATCTTTTACTGACATTTGGCACTTAGCAAGTGTTAATTTAAGAACCTTGACTCAAAACATCTATCCTAAAGTATATCAGATGTGGCCTGGCTGATAATGTGTGTCTTGATGTAGGCTGTAGTTTAACTCTTTCCTGTCCTGGTGTTTCTCTCTTCTCACACGTCATTGCTGTGGTTTACTGAAACACAGACCTGAACCCACAAACTTCCTGATAAAGTGCAACGCTTCAGTGAACGCGGTGGATAAAGTGAACAGAAACTCACCTCTACACTGTGCTGTACTGGCCGGCAATGTGGATGCGGCCCACATCCTGCTGCAGGCTGGAGCCAGCGTGGACCTGGAGAATACCAATGTAAGTGTCCACAGACACCCTTCAGCATGGTTACATTTCATGGAGGGTGAATGTTATTACACTTTTAGGTTGATTTATTATTCATTAAAGGTGCAAAACGCAAGTCTCTGAGTTTTTGCAGAACTACGCCCCTTCTGGCGACAAGCGAAACTGCAACCAGAGTTGTGCACGCTCATGGACCACACGCATCTTTTATTGGATATGTTTTATGTTTCATGTTGTACTATTCTTCCGAACACAATTCCTAGTTTATGAACCTGTTCACTGACAATGGTAGTAAAACCAATTCTGATTGTACATGTATCTAGCTTACGCTAAAGCATTACACATTTTACGCATCGTCATTTGTTGTCATACAATACAGATTTGCCGTATCAGACATTAGAGACTGGGCTATATCTTACCGTTTTATCAAGAAAAAAGCCAACTGAGGATCCCGTTTGAGACCAAGAGCAGACCGGAGATCTCTCCATTTGTTGAATGCCTTCCCGAGGTTGACTCTCGTCTTACTCCGACGCCTGTCTGACTCCAATTTGGACCTTTTGGTGGCACTAGACAAAATTTTTCTTTTCTTTACTTTACGTGGAGTTTGTGTTGGGGTTTGGAATGGACTACAAGCCGGTCTCTTTGAATCCATCTTCTACCTTTGACGCACGAGTTGTCTTCGCTGATGCGGAGAATGGTGGCGCCGGCGAATACACAAACTTGCGAGACATAGCCTGGTGAACGTGAACGCGCATGACGTCACGCCCAGTCTCAAATTCGAGCCCGAATCCCTCTTTTATATTTTACTGTACAGGATTATAGAGGCAATCTCAGTGCGCAGAGAAGGGCTCACTCAGCCCATCAGGCAGTTCTTTAAGCATATATAGGATAGAAAAACAGGTATTTTTAACATGAAAAGTTGCGCAATGCACCTTTAAGAAATTAAATCGGGTCAACTTTGATTTTATGTTTTAAGTATGTCACTTTTTCTGTGCAAATAAGATGACAGCAGTTATAGGCTGGCCTTGAAGAGGACCTATTATGGCCTTTTATAATTTTTCACATATTTTACATTGCAGCACCTTTCTTCCCAGTCTGTCAGTAACGCTCTGTTTAACAGTTGTTCCTATGTGAAAGTACTTGCATTCATTCCACATACATCTTAAACGTGGGATTGTTAGTTATTACATGTCCATCACTAAATCCAAAGCTGTTATGATGCTGATATGATTAAACCAGCAGAACAATAGCTGTAAAACTGGTTCTTCACTCACTTGGGCGTTCAGTTTGTAAGTTGAGCATTAGCTTGTGTCATTTTGCTGATGTGGTTGTGTTATTTTCAGGGTCACACTCCCATTGACCTGGCGCACCAGGTGCACAGCCCTCTGCTCATTCACACGCTCAGTGCGATGAAGACGGAACGAATCAAAGCCAACTCCACGTGTTTTAAACTGCTCAATAGATACAAGGTAACCTCATGCTCACACACACTCGTGCCTTTGTTTAAAATATTTAGAAATCAGGTTTCACTTCGTGATGTAGATTTGATGCTCTAAAATCTGGAGTAATATTCAGATTATTTTGGATTTGAACAAACCTCTAATTTAGCATAGTTAAATATATCTATTTGTGCTATAGATAGAACTTGGAATTTATTCGATAAAAAAAAAAAATAGTACAAATAAATGGTAAAATTGTCTTTTAATATACTTATTATTATTATTATTGGATATGATTTGAATGTTATATTATATTTATATGATCTTAATTATATGAATTTAATATCATTTCATTTTAAAGTTCATAGTAAAATTAGTATTATGTAATAATCACAGTAAAATTCATAAATTAGAATATTTAATTTATTTGTATTATTATTGAATATGATGTGGATGCTATTTTATAGTGGATATGACCTCTAATTAAAAATAATAACTATTATTATTACTGATTTATTTTTAAATTGAATCTATAAAATGTGTCTACACATTATTATTATTATTATTATTATCAACAAAAACATGAATATGTTTTTATTAATTTAAAGTATAATGTTTATTTAGATATTTTTTTCAAAAAGCTAATGAATGTTACAAATATGAATAAATATAAATGATCATAATAATAATTCACATTCATAATAGTTAATAACATTTTCTTAAGAAAATGTAAAGCATAAAGTTGAAAAGTAAAACAAATGAGTGTTTCATTGCATGTGGATCCCAGTTTTAATGGTTGTATTTGTTACAACCGTTTCAGGCAAACGCACATACACACACTCCCACACACCACTCTCACTAACCTTATTAAGGAAGACGTGAGGCGATTATTTGAAATCCCAGGGCTGTATTTAACCTTGAATTAAGCTTTCAGAAACAAAAGCAGCCAATTTCTCTCATAATGTGTGTTTGGCCCTGGAGAATTCTCCATTTTTAGGTTTTTATTAAACAAGAAAATAACATTCCACTTATTCACTGACCCACATTCCTCTGCTGTAACCCTGATTTTTCATTGCTGCTGAAAAGACTTCATCGTTCAGAGTGTGAGTGTGTGGTAGTGTGTATGTAACTGCGTGTGCTTGTCTGTTTCAGGTGTGTCTACAGTCTGCGTTCAGTGTTGTTGTGGTCGGAGCCATCGGTGCCATATTAGACATGAAGAGCGAGTCCTGGTTACTGAAGGGTGTTCTGCTGGCCTGCATCATGGCTGTGATCAACCTCACTTCGAGGTGCCTTTATTCATTCATTTTTCATATACCTACAATATAACTCTTTACTTACCATTTTCCCAACAAATGTATTTGTGTTGGATATGATGTGACTGATTGTATGTCTAAAGTGACTAAACACGAATTGCTCATATAACATATTTACTAACATTTTGTTCACTAAAACTATGCACACCATATTGATGGTTTAAAGTCAATTGCATGTTTTTGGCAGAACAGAAAAGATGTGAATGGTCTTTGTTGGTTAATTTTGTAATTATTGCCTCGATTTGTCTCAATGATGGCAAAGCAGGTGAAAACAAAAATAACAACAGACAATTGAAAGAAGAAAATATAAGCAGCTACCCAGAATACCATAACAACTGGTTATATATATTTTGATTTGATTAAAATGTATTTAAATTGTATTGATTATTAAATATTATGCAAATTTGAGTATTATTAATGAATGCAACATTTTGTTATTTGTCTTATTGAATCTGATTATATAATTTGCGATGCCATTGCACATACATCAGATAATTAAGCAAATTAATTTTTTGAGGATTGAAACAGATGGTTAAAGTAACCATGAATCCAAAATGGACAATTCTTCGTTTTCTTTTTTATGGAATAGTGCAGTATTTCAGGGCACTTTTTTTTTTTTAAATGAATGTGCCCTCATGATGTTTAATCAAAATAACTCCCTTGCAGCAGCATCTCTTCTCTTCTCTGATGATGTTTACTGGCGCGAGGACGGGACAACCTGTCACTCACATGACATCGACCAATAGCAAACCACAGCCATCCAATCAATCCTGATGGACAAAATCAAGTCCCGCCCTACACTATTTTCTTGTTTGAGAAGCCGTTTTACTCGGATGTACGTCAGAATAGTTTCATGCCGACTTTAATTACAGACAAATACAGATTATTTAAAAAATACAATTAATACATAAAATGGCATATTCTGAAAAGAAAGGAAAAAAATAATGACCCCCCCCTTAATTTTTAAAAAATAAAAAAATAAAAAAAAATTGGTAAAAAAAATACAAATTTAAGATCCATAATATTTGAGGTTGTTTAATTGGAGCATTATATTGTGTAAAGAATTTCTCCATAAAATTGTATAGGGTTTCAAATGCGAAATTTGTGAATGAAACCAAAAGAAGATATTTGGAAGAATGTTGGTAAACAAACAGTTGATGGCCCTCATTGACTTCCATAGTATGGAGGAAAAAAAATACCATGAAAGTCAATGGCTACCGTCAACTGTTTGTTTACCAAAATTCTGCCAAATATATTCTTTTGGTTTCAGTTAATTCATACAGCTTTGAAACAACTTGAGGATGAGTAAATGATGACAGAATTTTCATTTTTGGTTGAACTATCCCTTTAAATGTTACAGAGACCATTAAAGGTCAGAACAAAAAGTTCAGGAAAAAAAAAAAGTTGAGCTGTTGTTTCGACTCTTAAGTGTCTTAACAATGCTGTCCTGTTTGTGTCTGTAGGCAGTTGGCGACTGTGGCGGTACGGTCTTTGATTCCCTCGGCCAGTCTCATGGCTTCTATCTTCTGGATGGTGGTCACATGGGGCTTGTGGTTTCTACCTGATATCCTTGTATAATACACAAACAACACACACACACATACTCAAATACATACAAACACTTGTGCATGTGATTTTCTATGACAGGTTTTCAAACTGGGGGCCGCAAAGGAGTGCTAGGGGGTCCGTAGAAATGTTTTTTTTGGGGGGAAAGCGTAAAAATAGATAAAAGAAATAATTTATTAATGCATAAAAAAAAGTAATACAAAATAAAGTCTAATTAAGATTAAAATAAATAATCAGAAGATAGAATAAAATAAACAAACAAACACATTATATTAAAATACAAACAAATAAAATGATATTTAAATAAATAAATAATAATAAACATCACATTAACTTAAGCAAATAAATACAGTACAATAATATGAAGAAAAAAAAAACTTAAAAGGAAATTAAATATTTTCCTAATACTTTTTCACAGTGTAAATTGGATCGTTATACAATAAACTACATAGATTTAAATTTTAGGATGGGGATTAGGATTGATCATGTTAGGCGTCTGTGGCATCTAAAAGATTGAAAACCCCTGCTCTATTTAATTTATTTCTATTGACTTTCATATCAATTCTGTTTTGAATTGCACCGAAGAATTCGATTTCTGCTATTTTCTCATTGATAGGACTAAATGCTTTACGAATAAATCTAAATGTGAGACTGAAAAATTCCTTGTTTGAGGGAAATACAAGTGATATATCTCGTAAAGGCCTTAACGTGCGTTCACATGACCCCAGCGCTACAGTCCAGATGCTCTTCACAGTCAACATCACAGCCTTACTGTATTACTACCTCCGCTCCTGCAGGACAGACCCTGGCATCGTCAAGGCAACCGAGGAGGAGAAGAAGAAGGTAAGGACTGGCTGTGATTGGCTGGTGTAATGCCACTATCTGATTGGTCAATATATGTGCCAGTAACTCGTGCCGAATCGGTCTGAATGAGCAAAATGATGCCGTTAATGGGAAGAATAATTAAAAAGTAAACACTCCTCAGCCATTTAGATATCACCGCTTTGTCACATCAAAATCAAAATGGCCTAAAACATGATAACTGGGTTTTATTTTATTTTGCAATCAGCTTGGAGAAATTAAAGGTACATCTCTGTGCCTGTGACCAGTGTTTCCTGTGTTTGATGACTGATGATACAAAAATAATCATACTTAAAATAGAATTGTATTTGTTTATTGTATGTTATGTAAAGTAATGTTTATTTAACCTGGAAAATGTGACTAGATTAAGTGTAACTGGTACATACATTTACATTTGCTTTATATATATATATAAACATTACTAAAACTGAGGACTTTGCCCCCTCATTTCATAACACAAATAATATATATATGTATAAAAAATGTATTTAGTCTGTTTAGGATTAGTTGACCTAATGGTTCTGTGAAGCTCTTTCTAGTCTCATGTGTCTCGTCTCTCTGTAGAATATTGTGGTTCTGGCAGAAGCGGGTTGTCTGGATCCCAGGATATTTTGTACTTCATGTATGGTAAGTTATTATGTCTATTCATTTATAAGATATAAAGAACAGGTAATGATGATGAGAAGAAAACCAGATTGGGAAATGAAACGAGATCAATTCACACTTGTTACCTTCTAAAAGTATTAAGACTGAATGAGTCCAAGCATGTGCACTAACCGCCAGGCCATGGTTTAAAAACGTACACATTTTTACTATAATATTGTGTGATATTCTCCTGACAGGAACACATGTTGTTAACATTCTACAAAGTCTGATGCCAGGTTATTTGAAAACCTTGTTTTTACAGATGAGGAAGCCAATGAGAGCCAATCACTGCTTTTACTGTAATGCCTGTGTTGCTAAACAAGACCACCACTCCATTTGGATCAATGGCTGCATAGGTAACATGCCCAAACTAAGATGTTTAATGACACGTATGTCTTTTTTTCTGTATTTTTTCTCTTCTAATGTATTACTCATGCTAACTTGTTCCACAGGCGCCAGAAATCACCCGTTCTTTGTGCTTTTCCTGGTGGCTCTGAACTGCCTCTGCATGTGGACGTTCTACGGCAGTATTAAGTGTAAGTCACCACTTGAACTCAAATGTACAATAAACTACCGTTCTGAAGTTGTGGACAGTTTGAGTTTTGAAAGATTGTTATTTTTGAACTTGGTCTCTAAAGCTGAATGTTCGGCATCATTACATCTTCGGTGTCACATGATCCTTCAGAAATCATTCTAAAATGCTGATTTGATGCTCAAGAAACATTTCTTATTGTTGTTATCAATATTGAAAACTGTTGTGCCGCTTAATATTATTGTGGAAACAGTGATACATTTTGTTTTGATGATAGAAAGTTCAAAAGAACAGCTTTTATTTGAAATAGAAAATGTTCATGAAAATATACATATATTTGCAGTCACTTTAGATCAATTGAAAGTGTCCTTGTTAAATAAAAGTATTAATTTCTTTAAAAAAAATCTTACTGATCTTAGTAATTGCGTTATTTATTAAAACCAAGTCGCAACAAAGTTTTAACGTTTATGCAGTTTTAAACATTCTTTACTGCTTTAAAATTAAATAAACGACAAAGATACTGTAAAAACACATTTCATGTACTGTATCTTCCAATTCATCTACATTGCATTACATTCATCATGAGTTTCCATACAGGGTGATTTGCGGACCAGTGTTAGTGTAATGAGCCATTCATAGCGTTTACTTTTCGTCTGTGTTTCGCCAATATCCACTGTCACATTATGCTCTAGAGGACACTGACTACGTTTACATGCAGCCAATTTTCGGGTTATGGTCGGGTTAAGGTCACTATTCGGGTTTCTGAAACAGTAGGAATAACCCGTTTACATGCGTGAGCAGAGAGAGTTTCTCCTGTATACATTGAAGTGCAATATCCCGATGTTAACGGCAACGCGCGGTTAGCGTCAAGACGTACGGACAACCTTAAGACGCAATATGCGTCATTTCCGATTCTTCTTCCTGTGTCCAAAGACGACAACAACAGCAGCAGCACGCGGATAATGAATAGTTCGGGGCAGATAGCGATCGCCTTTGTTTGCGCTTTGGTGCTGGTACTGACCTCGCTCCAAAAGTATGCTGTGCTTCGTCTCGCCATGTTTACTTCCGGTATAACTTACTGCACGCAGGTTTTTGTATGCGCTGAGAAGTTCCTCTACTCAAAAGACCAAGTTTCCTTGCGAATAGAACATGCGCAGAACACAAATAACTATGGGGATATGCCGATGCGCGTTTACATGACCAAAAATTCGGGTTAGAAAAGGGGTACCCCAGGTATCCCGGTTTTTAAAATCCGGGATATAAGCATATTTCGGGTTTTTGCAGGTGTTTACATGGCCGTGCGCGACCGGGTTATTGCTAATATCCCGGTTTTGAACGGGTTATTGGCTTCATGTAAACGTAGTCACTATGATAATGTGTGTGTGTCTCTGTGTATAGACTGGTCGAAACACTGCCCGCTGCACTACACCGAGGAGGGTGTGTGGGGGGCGGTGACCGCTCTCATGGGCTGCTCTCCCTGGGTGCTTTACATCTTCTGCTTCGCTTTCTTCCACACCTGCTGGGCCTCCATCCTGCTGCTGTTACAGCTCTACCAGGTCAGTGACTTGATCATGTGCTTTTAACATGAATATCAGCACTACTGGCCAGATAGGAGTTCGGATTGAAGAACCAGAGAGAACAGCTATGTCATTATTTTTGTACTATAGCTGATGGCTGATACAATGTCATATATCGTATTTTCCGCACTATACGGCGCACCGGATTATAAGGCGCACCTTCAATGAATGACCTATTTTAGAACATTTCTCATATATAGGGCGCACGGGATTATAAGGCGCATAAGATACTGCAGTCAAACGTTTGACTGGGTTTGCGTTATGCATCCACTAGATGTCAAGAAATGTCAACAAAACAGTCAGATAAAGTCAAACTTTATTAAGCGTTCTGACAACTCCGTTCACTCCCATGGTAACGTTGTTCAAACGTTAAAGGAAAACTCCGGTCAATTTTAACATTGAGCTGATTTTTTGTAAATTTGGAGTGCTGTCAGTACAGATAACAACGACAAAAAACGGTTGCCTACACTGTGTTATCCTCTTTTTAAAACGTGCACCCTGTTGACTTAAACGGGGCAAGTCTTAAACCTGCTTTTAGCCTCTTAACAACCTTAATGTGTCATTACAAGTGCACAGCCATGTGAGTGAACTCGGTGAATCTGACTGCAGTAAATGTGAAAGATATGAATAAAAATGATGTTTGTTCAGCCAGCTCACATACCCGTATTTTCTTCCTGTTTTCGGTCGAAGTCCACAGTAGGCGATTGTCGAGTGCGCGCGCGCGATCATTGGTAACTAAGCAACAGTGGAGACTCAGACTGTCAGCCGATGACGGTGCTGTGTGGTGTTCTGAGAATATCAGCTCAAATGGATAGTTCATCCGAATCAGATAAACCATAGACATGTCTATGAGATAAACTATCCATTTGAGGTTTGATCGCGCGCGCGCGAACTCGACAATCAACTACTGTGGACTTCGGCCGAAAACAGGAAGTAAATACGGGTATGTGAGCCGGCTGAATAAAGAGATTATTCCTGCCTTCGTGAAAGCTCGGATCACAGTTGAGACTGATATATCAGCCCAGGCATCCACGATCCATTGGCAGATAGTGGCGTAAGTCGCCCGGCGCTGTCTCCCCGTCTTGGTGAAAGTGTGTTCACCATCCATATATAAGGCGCTCCGGATTATAAGGCGCACTGTCGTTTTTGAGAAAATTAAAGGCTTTTAAGTGCGCCTTATAGTGCAGAAAATACGGTATTTTTGGCTAGTGTTTTACGTCATTTGAAATCAGGCCTCTTCATAGAATAAAATATAATAGAAACTGTTAATACTTTTACAACCTAGAATAAATTAATAGTTTGATATTCAAATGATGCACTTATATTATATCAGTCTAATATTGACCTCAGACCAATACTGATAATAAAAAAACCACAAATATTTATCATTAGCTGTTTTTCCATCCACCTATTTTTATGGGCATTTTGGGATAAAACGCTGGATGGAAACGCCAAGAAGAGCATGAATTCTTAAAAGTTTAAAAACATGTTTAGGCGGATAAAAAAATAAAATCCGATAGGAAGACATGTGAATAAACTACGATGGAAACACATTTACCGTATAAATCCCTCAAGGAGTGCCAAAAATATCACGTGACTTTACTTCAAAAGAGGATGTGATTGGATAACTGGACTAACCAGCGGACCAATCGCATCGCACGGCATCTCAAGTGTTGGTTTGATCATTCTGAAATCTCTGAGCCAAAGTCTGTCATCGGAATGATTTAGTTTAATTCCCTCTCAGAAGTGTCTGACATTAATGCGCTCCTGAACACCAGCATCTGAACGCTACATAACATGACAGCGTTTATTGTGTTTCGTCTGCGCGCACTGAGACGCAAGTCATTTATGATGTTGGGAAAAAGAGCCACAGTCTCTTCCCCGATTGCAGCAACTTCCATTTTCATTACAGATTCTTTTGTGCCAGTTGACGATTTTGTTCTCTTGAACACATGGGAGGGAAACGGTGCTTTATTCACACATGATTTCTGCAATATTGCAATTTTGCGCATAAGTTAAATTCACTACTTTAGATGGAAACATAACTATGGTATTTTGTGCCTCTGTTCAAAGCTGCTGTTACATTTTTGTAGAGAGTAAACATTGCTTAGCGGTCTTATTAATGAAGTTAGATTTTAGTCTGGGTTTCCCCATACTGCCTTCCCGCAGCGCGATTTTATTCACGCTGAAAGGCAGTATGGATACCATGGACCAAATTTTCGCCTGATTTAGGGAACCAATCACAGAACGGGGAGGGAGCAGCAAGACGATGACGCGTCTATGCGACACACCGAAGCAGTTTGTTTATACCTATGGATCCAACATGGCAGCAGACGCGAAGTTACCTTTCGATGCAGCCTTACGGCCGTTTCACACATAGGTTTCACACTATGGGATGATTATAGTATCAAAATGATTAACACTTGCAAGCACACTTATCAATGAACTTGATACATGTTGCAGAAATGTTTTATCCATGCCTTTAAACTTGCGTGTGCAAAATTCAAAATTGAATGAATGTGAAGCAATTTGTACAAATAGAGACATTTTTGTGAATACAAATGTTTTCCTTTGTATTAGTGTATCATAATTTGCACATGCAACACAGAAGACGTGCATGTGTGGATCAGGTGACACGCGTGCATTCATTGACTCGTTTCTGAGTCGATCCTATTTGATTCATTTGGATTTTGAGACTTTCATTTCGCGGGTTTCGCCTTGCACGATCCACACACAGCTGTCTGAGAAAAGCTGCTACCACTAGATGGCAGTATTCTGCTAAAACAGACAACGGCAGCATAATCAAGCGTTCTTCCGCATTTAAGACGCTTAATGAGAGTGATATTGAAGCACCAAATTTAGTACACAATAATATAGGCCTACCCTATTAATAAAGCATACTTTATAGAGGCAAACATTACGTCAGATTATGAACAACACCCATAGAAAACCATTATAAAACGCTTAACGTGCAATCGCGCGTTGCATGCTCAGTAAGGTGTATTGGCTACTGAGTTTAAATATCACCGTCTTACTGCTTACTTTTTAAATTTAATAACAGACATTTTCAATTCCAAAGCTCGTAGAAGGTTTCTGTAAGACTGACTTACAAGTAAAATTTGGACAATACTTCCCTTCATGTAGCCTGTATTCTGCAGAAAAATACTGTAATTCACCAAAAGGGTTTTTTCATGTTGTAGTATGTTCCTAGTGACTAGACTGGCTTACTACAGGTGAAATTGTCCCAATACCTCCCTTCATGTAGCCTATTTAGTAAACAATTATTATTTTATAAAAAAATTACTGTAATTAACCAAACGGGTTTTTGGTGACTTACTACAAGTGAATAATGTAAAATTTCACCTGACTTGTCACTAGGAACGTACTACAACCTTTGGAACATGAATAGAAAAACAATTTACAGTAAATTAAAAAATTGTAGGCTACTGTTCAATCGAGATATTGGCTGGACATACAGTAACAGTAGGCTAAGTCAGTCTGCCCACTAGACTTCCAGGTTATAATATAACCTTGGAAATATGTTCATTTGAATGAATGACTGGACGTTTATATTTTTTTGACTGTGAGTGGAGTTTGCAGATGGTCCCTTTATAAAATGTGGCGAATATCAAACCTAAAACTTACTTCACTGCACTCTCGGACCGGTTGCTCTCCCATTCACATGCAAAGTTAAACGCAACTGCAGAATTTTTATTTCATGTTAAGCTTTTTCTTTTTAACAGGCTCGGGAAGGAAAATTTTATTAACTTGAAACGCCGTACATTGCGTTCATGTAGTCTCTTGTCTGTAGGCTATATAATTTTCCTCCCATAGAGCATATTATAAAGAAAAAGCTTAACGTCAATGCAATAAGACGGTGATATTTAAACTCAGTAGCCAATACACCTTACTGAGCATGCAACGCGCGATTGCACGTTAAGCGTTTTATAATGGTTTTCTATGGGTGTTGTTCATAATCTAACGTAATGTTTGCCTCTATAAAGTATGCTTTATTAATAGGGTAGGCCTATATTATTGTGTACTAAATTTGGTGCTTCAATATCACTCTCATTAAGCGTCTTAAATGCGGAAGAACGCTTGATTATGCTGCCGTTGTCTGTTTTAGCAGAATACTGCCATCTAGTGGTAGCAGGTTTTCTCAGACAGCTGTGTGTGGATCGTGCAAGGCGAAACCCGCGAAATGAAAGTCTCAAAATCCAAATGAATCAAATAGGATCGACTCAGAAACGAGTCAATGAATGCACGCGTGTCACCTGATCCACACATGCACGTCTTCTGTGTTGCATGTGCAAATTATGATACACTAATACAAAGGAAAACATTTGTATTCACAAAAATGTCTCTATTTGTACAAATTGCTTCACATTCATTCAATTTTGAATTTTGCACACGCAAGTTTAAAGGCATGGATAAAACATTTCTGCAACATGTATCAAGTTCATTGATAAGTGTGCTTGCACGTGTTAATCATTTTGATACTATAATCATCCCATATCACACCGCAAGCGTGAGCGGCACTTGAGCAGCGCGTCAGCGTAACATCGTCACTGCAGCTGCAGACGCGCGAGAGTATTCACACTGGAAGCGTTTGTAGACAGTGTCACAGCAGCGGCTCCAAAGCTACATATCGTTAGCCTCATAGCATAATTGCTTAAGTCATTTTGTGTTTTCTTCTTGTTTTCCAAAGACATTGAAATATGACTTCGGCATTATATATAAGCGAGCAATTCTTCACAAAGACAACTATACATTTGTTTTTAGAAGTTGGTCATTTTATAACATTGATAGTCTTGAAATTTTGTAATGGGGAGGTGTACAACATTCGCATATAAGTTAAATGTAATACAACAAAACAACCCAGAAAATGGCTCCAATCTATTAGTTTCAGTCATACTTTCGATGTTTACAAGACCGCAACTCCGCGGATAAAAAACAAAACACACAAATAAACCACACACTCGGGTTTGATTTGGGTTGTGCTAGCCTGTAGCTGTCTGTGTGTTAACGTTACATGAACTAAAAGAACGTTTATATATAATATTTTCTGGCTAGTTTACTTTAGTTTTTTTTATTTATATAATACACTACTTTCACCCAAACTGAATAATTAAAAACAAGTTTTTACCGGGTAAATCTTCTATAAATATTTTAGAGTCTTTATTTTCTTTTATTTGCCTACTCAAGTTCTTGTTAAAACTTTTTGTGGCAATTTTTGTGTGAAATCACATTTATTTTTGTCCATCAAAAGTGTGCTTTCACTTTAATTTAGCGTGAGCAATGCAGCAAAAAACAGATTCGAAACCCCCGCTTCACTGCTGCTCACGCGCCGCTCCTGCACGACGCTCACGCGCTGCTCCCGGTGTGAATGCACTCATTGCTTAACATGCACGCCGAAAAAAATACGCGCCGCTCACGCATGCGGTGTGAAACGGCCGTTAGATACACGCCATCGTGTAGGCTACACATAAATCTCTGACCCATCGGCCATCGTCGTCTCCCTCGTCTAATTTCTGTCGCTCTGCATACGTCATCTGGTATAATCGAAACGATTGGCTATGAGCTACGTACAGGCGCATTTGATAGACATTCTTAGCACCCAATAAACGGCTCTGGGCATTCGTAAACCACGCCTCAAATACGAGAAAATGAACATGTGGTTCCCAGACCCAAGTCTCAACGAGAATTGGGTCTGGCGTTAGCCAGGCTAGTTAGATTTACTAACTAAATAAAATAACTGAAATAAATAAGTTTAAGCTGAAGTACAAAATTACTAAAACTGAAATAAAAAATAAAGCTAGAAAAAAAAATTACTCAAATTAAATTCAAAATATTAATAAATATAATAGTATATAAATAATACTAAAATTACACTGATTAATAATAATAATATATATTTTTTCAATAGTATAATTTAATTAAAATGAACAAATAATGGTGTAAATAATGATTTTCTCACATGTCTGTAGTGTTTCAGCAGAATTCCTCAAGTTGTTCTCACATGACTAACATGGTGTAAAGAGGTTCCCCCTGCAGAGGCATTAGGAACCTGTTCTCATGCCCTGACTTCCTGTTGGGATTAATAGTGGTCAATAGTGTAAAGTGTTCATTTGAAGGACTGTTTTGTCCTGTGATGCATGCACACACTCTTTATACTTTGCTTTGTTTCCTCACAGATTGCGTTCCTTGGACTGACGACGGTCGAGAGAGCTAACCTGACACACAGGCAGAGAAAACTCCCTCAAGCCTCTTCTCTCAGACAAAACCCATTCAAGTAAGCATAGTTTAACTAGTTTATGGCTCATAAGTAGAAGCTTGTTTCGCCTTGGAATAAAGTATTAGTGACTTTTTCCCCTATGAAAGTTTATATTTCGCAATTCGAACTTTATAACTCACAATTGTTAAATATAAACTTGGAATTGCGAGAAAACAACTTAATTTAAATTTAGCAATTAACGAAGGTAGTTGAATTTTTATCTCAAGATTTTGTATTTTCCTTGCGATTGCGAGTTTATACCTCACAATTTAGACTTTATAACTTTTATTGCCAGTTTATATCTCGCAATTCTGACTATTTCGACATTTTTTTCCCCCTCGGAATTGCAAGTTATCGAGTCTGAATTGTGAGAAAAAAAGTTACAATTACTTGACTTGTTTTCTTGCAATTACAAGTTTATATCTCGCAATTCTTACTTTGTCTCACAAATGCGAGTTTATACCTCACAATTTAGACTTTATAACTTTTATTGGCAGTTTATATCTCGCAATTCTGACTATTTTTTTCCCCTCGGAATTGCGAGTTATCGAGTCTGAATTGTGAGATAAAAAATTTCCTGCAATTACAAGTTTATATCTCGCAATTCTTACTTTCTCACAAATGCGAGTTTATATTTCACAATTCTGACTTTATTTTGAATTTATAACTCGCAATTCTGACCTTTTCCCTTAGAATTGTGAGATTTAAACTCAAAATTGCGAGTTATAAAAATCCAAATTGTGAGATGAAAAATGAGCAAATACTTGACTTGTTTTCTTGCAATTACAAGTTTATATCTTGCAATTATGGCTTTATTTCTCGTTATTCTGATGTTACAAATCGCAATTCAGTTTTTTCTCAGAATTGTGAGATATAAACTCGATTGCGAGTAATCAAGTATGAATTGTGAGATAAAAAGTTGCAATTACATGACTTGTTTTCTTGCAATTATGAGTTTATATCTTGCAATTCTGACTTTATAACTCACAATTGTGAGTTTTATTTCACAATTCTGAGGAAAAAATGTGAATTGCGACATATAAACTCGTAATTCTGACTTTTTCCCGCAATTCAGATTTTTTTTTTAATAGCAAATATGACTTTTCCCTGACAATTGTGAGAAACTCGGAATTGCGGGATATAAAATCACAATTAAAAAAAGTAATTGCAGCTTTTTATCTTTGACTTTATTACTTGCAATTGGCAGTTTATATGTCACAATTCTGACTTTATTTAAAGTTTATATCTTGCAATTCTCACTTTATAACTCGCAATTGTGAGGTTAAATCTTGCAATTCTGTTTTTCTCAGAATTATGGGATATAAACTCACAATTACCTTTTTTATTGTTTTATTCTGTGATGGAATCAAGCTTCCATAGATAACACTCATCATTTATTTATTTATTTTTTTCATAAATGTGTCAGTTTTATATTTGATGTGGTTTCTTCTCTCATAGTCTTGGAGTGGTGAAGAACCTGGTGAACTTCTTCCAGTGGCGCTGCTGCGGTCTCTGTAAGCCAATGGTGCTGGACTGGACTCAACAGTATCCGATGGGTCTCAGCAGAGACCATCCCATGTTCAGCGGTCCCGATGCTGTTTGACCACCAGAGGCCAGTCACCCACTCAGGGAGAGCGTCGTCCCCAGTTATGGAGCCATTGGTTTGATTTGTAATGCCTTTTTAATGATGAAAAGGAAGAATAGACTGAATGCTAATTTGGATAATCTTTTGTTCTATTTGCAAGAACATTCACCTTTTATATTTGAGCGAAATATATATGTGATGTGCATTCATGGTAATGATGGGAAGATTTTGCCTTACAGCTTAAGTTCTACATAAGAATGTTTATAAGCATACTGATATATTTTGAACTGAAATATTTTGTAAGGTACGGTAAGATCAAATTGTTTTGGGTTTAACTCCCAAGTCCTTTTACAGGAAGTGACCACTATCCTCTTTGTGAACCGATTTGTAAATCAGAGCAATTTTATTTCTACAAAACAAATAATTACAAAAAATGCGCCAAATTACAAATTCAGTTGCTGATATTGATTATTGGCTGAAAATCTGATTTCTTGTAATTTTGAGAAACGTATATCCCTTGATGCGTCAAAGTGCATTTGAAATGACTTAATGCTACGATCAGATGCACCACCACTCTCCTGAGCTACCGCAGCATTTATAGCATTATACATACAAGATTAATCATATCATTTAATATATTTCATTAGTTATTAGAATCACGTTGCCCTTTGTACATTTTCTGAGTAATCAGTCATAATGGTGGCAGTTGATCTTATTTTTTAGCCTTTAATAACCACTGTGTAGTACAGGCTCATGTCTGATGGCATCATCATGCTGTTTACTGCAGTTCTCAATACTATTCATTATACTTTATCACGCAGTATGTCATTATAAGGGAAATGTGCTGTTCTTGAATCCTGCTCTGTGCTTTGGAATAAATCACTTTTATAATTTGTGGCTCAAGAGTGTTTCTCCAGGTCACGGTGTATTTTGATGTTTATTATTGGTTGCTGGGCTAAAATAACAAGTTAATATTGAGTAACTTGCATTATAGCCACTATTATCTAATAACGAAGAGTTTTGGAGATACTTTATTACCCTGAACTGATTACTGTATTTCATTGTGTGAATGTGCATTAGTTGTCTTTCGATTACTATATTTAAAGTGCTTTTTCTTGGTTACAGATCGTCGTTTAATCAATGTTGGATGACTTTATTCTTTGTATCCCATGTCATAGCATAAAAACAGTTACAGTAGACAGGAGTAATATAATTGTAATACATTTGATTTATGCTGTAGTCTGTGTGCATAGCATCAACATTAGATGTCTAAAGCTGAAGTGTGTAAAAATAAAATTGTTAAAATACTTAACCTTTCCCAACCTAAGCTGTTGGTAAGATAAGTTTCCCAAAAGTGTAACCATTTGGCACCATCACAGCATTATACTGCTTAAGCGTCTCCATATATTGGTGCAATTCTGTTTGGTAGGCTAATGGCAGAGATCACACACTTCATCTTTAAGTATAAAGCCACCTTTTCATTACACACGACAAACGACATTTGGCGGAAGTCATTCATTTCCCATGGAAAATCGCACAGGGGTTATGCGTCATGCAGGTGCATGTTTGGATCCGAATTGAGCTTTGGATGCATTAAGAAATGTGAACGTAAGTGACTGGATGATAGCCTTTGCAACATGCAGCATAATGGTCTAGTCACAGGAGATATATATGAAGAGTTTGGTTCCAAAACGCAATAAATCCATTTAGATTAATTTGAGTAAAAATGTGTTTTCTTTACCAAGAAAGTGGAAAGATGAAAACCACTATTTTCTGTTACTGTTTACATTGGGTGGAATGGTGCGTTGTGATTGGTTGAGAGCGGATGGCGTTTGTCGCGGTTTGGAAAGAAAGGGAGAAAACATGACAGAATAACACGGCGGATATCGCATTTTACTTAAAATTAAACATTGACTTTTCAATACCAACCAGATACAATACTGATTTTTGCAGTAACTATTTTTTTTTTTTTTTAAATGGCGTTTATCGCGTGTGTGTTTGTATTAATTTATTCATTCCACCATGATAAATGTCATTGTTGTATTTCGACTGCCACTAGTAGGCGATTTCCCACAGTTGGGAAATTTCCCACAGTCCCACATGTTGTGTGCAGTGAAAAGGAGGCTGCACTGGGTTGGTTTAAACTTGTCAATCAGTGTCCTCGACCACGCCCATGTTCCCAAGGCCCCGCCCCTTTGGACCAAAGTTTTTGGCGTAGCAAACTGAAAAAAAGAAAGAAAAAAAATGGACAAAAACTTTAATAATAATAAAATAAATCTTGGCTAAGGTTCAACTAGTATTCAGCAATATTCCATAATTACCAATATTTTTAGAAACACTTTACAATAAAGTAATTTATGTATGTAATAAATTATTCCTGTGGTATTAAAGCTGAATTTTCAGCATCATTACTCCAGGCTTCAGTGTCACATGATCCTTCAGAAATCATTCTGATATGATGTGCTACTCAAGAAACATTTATTGTTAATGTCAATGTTGAAAACAGTTGTGCTACTTAATATTTTTGTGGAAATGGTGATACTTTTTTTAGGAATCTTTGATGAATAGTAAGTTCAGTCATTAAATTTATTAAAGCATTTATTTGAAATAGAAATAAAAATAGAACGTGTAACATAAATGTAATCACGTTTGATCAATTTAATGCATCCTTGATTAATAAAAGTATTAATTTCCCTCTCTCTCTTTTAAATCTTACCACAAATATTTGAATGGTATCATTGTTTCCACAAAAATGTTAAGCAGCTGTTTTCAAAACTGATAATAATCAGAAATGTTTCTTGAGCATCAAATCATCATATTAGAATGATTTCTGAAGGATCATGTGACACTGAAGACTGGAGAAATGATGCGGAAAATTCAGCTTTATATCACAGCAATAAATTACATTTTAAATTGTTTTAAAACTACAAAATGCTTATTTTAAATTGTAATATCTCACAACATCACTGTTTTTACTGTAGTTTTGATTAAATAAATGCAGCCTCGGTGAACATAAGAGAATTGTTTTCAAAAACATTAAAAAATTGTAATGTTTCCAAACTTTTGACATGTGCTGTACATTATTCAAATTAAAAGTTGTATCTGTTAATGATATTTAATGGACCGGAACTAACAATAAACAGCATTTTTTTTAAACTAAGGTTAACAAAGAAGAATAAATACTGCACCAACTGCATTACTCATTGTTAGCTAATGGGACCTTAAATTGTTATTCTCATTCTATCTTAATATTTAATGCAAATTTCTGTTAGCATGATCAAAAATAGTCATCATGATGCAACTAACACGCATCACTCAGGCTTTAATCACTGCTACAGTATTTGTGCTCTTGATCGCATCGATTGGCCTGTAATGGCTGTTGAACAATAACTAGGTCTATCAAACAGACCATCTATTGATTGTCTAAGTGATATTAGAGATTGAGCTGGCAGTCTCATTTGATTGATCGTACCTTTACAGTAGAGCTCTCCGTCTTTATCCGTCACCGTGGTGGACTCCAGGCTCTTCCCACACAATAAACAGCGGAAGCAGGTTTTGTGCCAGGGCTGTTGGATCAGAACCAGTGACAGACTGATAAAGTACTACGGTAAAATCTGCTTTACACAGCACTGACCTGTGACAGCAGCATATTGCAGGAGTGCTGAGAATGGAACTGTTTCTCAAAATCTGCTTATACCGGCGGTTAAATGGTTTAATATTAATACATTTCATATCATAACACAGCATATAGTAGCAAAAACTCTGAGCCAGCTTCTGGCGTTCATCGTAGCTGCAGTTTTACCTTTCCAGCGCCCATGACTTTCTCTGCTGCGTAGACTGCTTTGGAGCAGCGGGGACATCGATCCGTACTCCCAAATTTCTGCGCAAACTTGCTTGGGTTCGAGTTCGCAGATGTCGGACGAGCTTTAGGCCTTAATATGTTAAACACACACATAAGAAACACAAAACAACAATATTCTAAATTCAAGTGTAAAAAAATCCTCTAAATTCTTCGTGGCCGTTTGCACGACATCACCTTTAACTAAAAACGTAACGTTTTTTTTTTGGTCGTTCATTTACACGACAACAGCATTTTGGTGGCCTGAAAACGCAACATTTTGAAAATTGGTTTCAGTGCAAGTTTTTGAAAACGATACTGTTATGATCTCCGTTGTAAACTACATTGGAACTCAGTTGAGACAGTTGAAGCCCATTTTTAGCGATTTTTGAGCACTTCCGTTCCTGACGCGCAGACTCAAACCGACTCAAACTAACGGTACTGATCCACTTTTGCGACACGACTGAAGCGTGGTGTCGCACCCTCTCCACATTTGTAAGTTGATGCGCGTTCATCAAGTTTACCACTATGGGCGTGGTTTTGACCCAGCGGCCAGTCTAGAACAAAGGCCCCTCGAGAGACTACTTCTATTGGATAGACGCGTCGCGTTTGACGGATTCATTTGCATAAAGCTGGGCATCGGCCAGCTTTTGGACGCGCAGCATTTTTTCAAATGAAGCGCCGCCTTCCCGGGATGCTTTGCGGGCGCGTTAAAGTCGCGTGACGTCACCCATAGGAATAAGGGCCTTTACATAGTCAACGCGAGCAACGCGAGCAAGCAACGCGAGCGACGCGAGCTACGCGCTCCTTTTCATAGTACACAAGCGTCACCGGCGATGCGTGAAATGCAATACACCGATCGCGCAGCAGGGGGTAGTAGAGTCTAGAGTCGGGTCACGTAATATTCAGATCAAAATGGCAACTGAAGAGGAGTGCATATTGCTGATTTTACATCGGCGGCAACAAAGGATGTATACGAACAAGCTCGCATAACTTTTCCTCTTCGCCCGCCATTGTATTCAAATCTTCTTCTTCTGTAAACATAATAATATACCTTTTTATGTACATTACTTGCAATGTCGCCCCCACCGACAACGCATAGTATTGCGTGCATCGGCGCGTCGCGTATCAAAAACTAGGATGACACATTTGGCTACGCATCGACGCATAATGGCGGCCGAAGCGTAGCGATGTGTAGCCTTGCGCACGCGTATGCGTACCGATGCGTTGACTATGTAAGGGCCCTAAAGCGGAGCGCGGCGCGACTGAAGTGTTGCACGGACAAGTGGATCAGTACCGTGAGCTTGATGACGTGAGCAACCTGTCTGACAGACGTTAATCTTCTAGTAGCTGTGCGTGAAAATTGCCAACGTTAATCTTGCAGAGACGGGGAACTTGAGCAAAGAGTTGTTTGGCATGAGTGAGCAGGAGTAAGTATTCCGTTGCTTTTATGGACTCATTATCTATGGGCTTCTCCCTTGACGGGACGTCCCCCCGATTGCCTGCGAGCTTCTCCTCCTGTCTGTACGGTAATTTCTGTACAGCGCGACAGAGAGTCGAGTGGTTATGACGCAATCGTTAGCCTATTTTTACAAAATCTGTTTCTACGGGGCCATAATGTAACATAGAAGGTAATGGAGCCCTTTATACATTGTCGTGTTTCTTTAGAAATAAATAATGGACAAATGGAGTCTTTAAACGCCTCAGATGTAAAGTTATTCGCTGTCTAAGTGACGCCAAAATGAATGGGAGTCAATGGAAATGCTAACGCAAGTGAAGTTCTGCTACAACATGGCGGCACCCGGCCGGCTTCAACTTCCGGTCGATGGATTACCCCCTTGTTTGCGTTTTCAGGCCCAGTTGTTATGTAAATGAACGGCCAAAACACATAAAAAAAATATCTGTTTTTAGTTGAAAACAGTGGTGTGTAATTGACAAGGTTTTGTGTCACTACCTCATGTGAAAGATATTTTTAAGGACATACTCTTGAGGCTGAAGTTCTTCATTATTCACCGGGTCCGAACTCAGCGCTCCGGCACCCTGGCCGTACCCGTAACCTTTGGGACCGTATTTCTTGCCGTAGCAGGATTTGCAGTAAATCTCAGACTCGTGTGCTGCAACTGTTGTGCTGTCCAAACCTTTACGACAAACCACTAAAAAACAGAAACAAATCTGTGTTCAAATATGGCATTGATACCATATCAAATATGTATATGAGAATTAAAAATATACACTAACATTCAAATATTTCTGAAAGTCTTTAATGCTTACCAAGGCTGCATTTATTTGTCCAAAATATAGAATATAAACATTAATATTGTGAAATATTATTACAATTTAAAATAGCTGTTTTCTCTGAATTGCTGAATTTATTTCTGTAATGCCAAGCAGAATTTTCCAACCTGATCTCATGCTAATATATAGCAAACTATTTTACAAGGTGGCAATTTCATAAGAATGTATACAACGTACAGTTTTTAGGAAAAAAATGAGCATCCCTAAACATAACTGTCTCTGGGGCATCAGCAGATCATAAAATTTTTTTTTAGAAATGATATTTTACGGATTCATATGAATTAGCACGCAATTCGCCAAAACATAAAATAGTTACAAATCGTATTTAGAAATTGAATTTTCAGCATCATTACTCGTCTTTAATGTCACATGATCTTTCAGAAATCATTCTAATATGATGATTTGCTGCTCAAGAAACATTACTTATTAACATCAACAGTTGTGCTGCTTAATATTTTTGCAGAAACCATGATACATTTTTTCCGGATTATTTGATGAATAGAAAGTTTGAAAGAACAGCATTTATTTGAAATCGAAATCTTTTGTAACATTATAAATATCTTTACCGTCACTTTTGTTTAGTGCATTCTTGCTGAATTAAAGTATTAATTTCTTTAAAAAATAAATAAAAAAAAATCTAACTTTTGAACAGTGGTGTTAATATATATATATATATATATATATAGACTAGTTGTATTGAGACCAGCAAAACAAAAAAATACAGCATACTACATTCAACACAAAATCTGAAATTCTTGGATCTGATATGAGAGACAGAGTTTCGAGTTGTCCCGTGATCTCCTCCAGAGGGCTGTCATCTCCTGTCTGTGTTCCTCAGCTGCTGCGCTTTCAGCCAGGATGGCTCAAGAGGCTCATGGGAGCTTGGTTTTGTGTCTAATTTTGGGCTGGATGAACAAGAGGCTGTGAGAGAGCGAAGTATCCCGGCCGCTGTCATCCGCAGCAGATGGAAACAGGCTCTTGAATGGTTGAACTGCAGGGGTGTGAGCTCTACCACACTGTTACCAGTCACAACACCCGTCCTGGCACGACTCGAGCGTTTAAGAATTAATGCTGTGCCACTGAAAGCTGTCTGCTCACTGGGAAGCATTTCAAAGAGCACTCTTGATTTTGATGGGAGTTAGTTTGGTTTTTTTAGCTGTTTTTTGGGGGAGGACCTCATCAAGATTCATTAACTAACTTAAACTGATATAACATACATTAATAAAAGAATGCTGACTGAAAGTTTATTGCTCTATCCAAATATGTATTGTTGCTATTGAAGTAAATATTTTGGTAAAAGGTAAATCTGTTTTCAAATATCAAATATAATAACAGACTCGGTGAAAAGAAAATGCACATTTGCTCAGACAAGCGATAAGTCTATGTTTTGATCTATAGTGAAAAAAATTGCATTTTCAGTCATCTATCCTATTATCCATATTTTGCTCTAAAATATCCATGCTTTTTAAAATTCGTCAAACTGGCTAAAATTGCTATGGTAGATATTCTTGTTATTATTATGTTTTTACCTGCTTACCTGAGAGACACACCTGTAATTTCAAAATGTCGTAAAAGGAAAATCTTAGTCGCCATGAAATCAAAATGTTTTTTTTTTTTAATGGAATATTTTAGTATATATTATAAATGATTTATCCGTGCATATCATTATTTCAGGAACCCTCATAATCTTTCATCGAAATAACTTCCCCTCCCTCTTGTGGCGACTTCTGTGATGATGTGTTTACTGGCACGAGGGCGGGGCAACCTGTCATTCGCAAGAGATCGACCAATGGCAAACCACAACCGTCCAATCAATTCCAGATGGACAAAATCAAGTCCCGCCCCACATTTTTCTTGTTGGTGAAGCCATTTTATGATATATGTCACAATAGCGAAGAAAAGACAATCACAACTTCCATTTCATGCCGACTTTAACTTTAACTTTTTGATTCTGATATCTAATATACCTTTAATTTTTACTTTAGTAAGTAAGAGTAACAATTAATACCTGAATTGTATTGTGGACTTACTGCAAATGAAGCAGGTTTTGTGGAAGCTCCGGCTGTTGCACTGGATCTCCTCCGCATGGTAAACCATCTTCTCACAGGCCGAACATTTGGCTCCTCCTCCCCAATTTGGCATCCTCGTATCTGGCAAAGATTCTGACATTTACAGGAACGGGAAGAGACACAATCAACCAAAACTGCCAAAAAAAAACATCGACTTAAAGGGATGAGTGTTACAATCAGTTTACTAACTGTGAAAATGTATCACCGTTTTTTGAAAACAGGGAGAACAATTGACTACCTTCATTTATGTGATATGTGATAGGTCAGATATAAAAATAGATGTATCCTATCTCAAAGGAATATGTCATTTAGTCTCTATCTCATCTCTTTAAGCAGGCAGAATATCACCTCACTAGTGTGGAATGCAACGATAAGAGTCCAGAAATAGGTCTTTTATTAATGGCACTGCCAGATTAAAAGAAGTGCCTGCTTTTGTGTGGCTAAAGGAATGCCATTTATTTTTGAATTATTTATTCACATTGTTATTATTTTGTATGTATTTCTAAATTAAAACATAATTGGATCTCTCTGCTTTGTAAGAGAGAAAACATCAGGGATACTTTAAGACCAAAATATGAATCAGTAACACTAAAAGTCATTACACAATGCATATCAAATAATGAATTAAATACTTCAAATTACATTTGTTTCATGATCTTTCTAAATATATAAATGTAGGCTGCTTGTTATCTGCTAAGCGATCGTGTAATACTAATCGAATCACTTTAAACCTGATGAATGAAATTGTAGAATCACTTGCTTAATTAAATAAATATCAATAGGAGTGAATTCAGGTTGTTTTGGACACTTTCATCCCAATGGCAAAAAGTGTCCCACCATGAGTTGAGTTCACCCCTACATTGTCAGTACAGCACAAATTATGAAGCCATGGTCAGACATTAAAATATAAATGTTCAAATTCTACTTACGCAATCTTTTTTTCCCCCTGGAAATTATGTTTTCTCCTCTGTCCCTGATGATGTCCATTTCTGGCCCTCTACGGTAGGTCTTTATATAGGCTACTGGGCGTCACTCCCTCAGCTCCAAACACACACTCATCATTTCAAGAGGACCAAAGGGTGTGCTGACATTCAGATTAGTCCATCCTCCTCCTAAATTAACAGCTGACAATACACAAATGCAATGTAGCGGCATGGTGTCCAGTCCTGAGCGCAAATTTTCGACAAACACCACAACATTTGTTCCCAATTTTAAAGGCTTGGGTGTTCGGCTGCATAAACACATTGAATCTGTCTGTATGGCTGAATATTAAAACTGATGATGACAAGTTTTGAATGATTATGTAAAAGGAAAGTCTGTCCTTGACTAGCATCATTTCTATGATACTTCTAATGATGGAGTATCTGATTCAGCACATTGCATTTGTTGGTTATGTGGTTGCTATAGCCTATGTGTTGTGGTGCCTATAGGCAGTGCCAGCTCTGACTGCTTGGCCACCCATGTTGCGAAAGCATTTTAATGGCTTTAACAGCTGACTTTTCTCTGTTCAAAGAACTATGGCACTGGCACAAAGGCCACATGCACACTCCAGCTGAACTAAGTTCTCACTTCACCGGTTTGGTCCGTTTACACTTGTAGATGTTAAGTGATTTTCTCTAGATTTGAAGCAGGATTTTTTTTACACCCCAATAAAATCATTGGGTCTTACCTGAAGCCTGCCACCCCTGAAAAAAAGTTAACCCACTCCTTGAATGTTTGGTATATTTGACCATTTTTCACTTATTATGAGGAAGTTACAGTTAAATGTTCTCTGAACCATCTGAAAAGAAGAGTATGTGGGGGAAAACGCCTCTTTATGGTGTTAAACGCACCCCTACTGTTTTCCACAAAATAACCAATAGATTAAGTCATTATACGTTTTTGTTGTTGCTATGCACTAAGCTGACAAGAGTGATGTAGAAGTATTCCCTGTGAAGCTTACACTGCATGGCGAGAAAACAGATTTCATGGTAAGTGATCTAATTTTCAGCAGTAGCCTATGGAAAGAAGCGTTGCTTTGCAGAACATAGTTATATATGATATAAGAATAGTAGTTAGGGAGTACATGTTATTTAAGGAAAATATAATTATATTTTTAGAATTGACAAAAAAAATTCAAACGTAGTCTGTGGGGTAAAACGACCCCAGCAACTTGGGATAAACCCCCAGGAGGCATCACTTCCCACTAATATTACTAATAATTTGTTATATTTATATAGGCTAGTGCTTTTCTGGGTACTCAAAGCACTTTACATATGGAAGGGGGGAATCCGTTAGCATCAACTAACACTAGCATGGTTCATTTAATAAATATTCATATTTATCTATCGTTGGTTTAACTTGTCTTTTTAATTGTAAGCTAAAAATTGCTTTGATTTTGCTGCATGTAAATGTATAAAGCAAATAGCTTTTTTTTCAGAATGGGGACATTTGTACAAATTTAGCCTATTTAAAAGATGAATAAAACATTCTAATAACATGAAAACAACTAGGATAACTTCTAGACAAATTTAACTTTTTGTTTCACGGATTTTTTTTTACACAGTCCTTAAGGTGGGCAACAAAACAGACTAAAATGTTACAGAATAACGTTACATCAATGGTGTTTAAATATCCTTACTTTTTTTTGTACTGTTTTGAGAACATTATAAAAAGACCGATGACTTTGAACAACAAGCTGGGCTTATTAGTAAAGGATTGATTTGCCCAAAGAAGATAACCCCATGTTAACCAATTCTGTTAAGCAAACTGGCTAATGGTAAACATTTTTTTTATTGTTGTTAATATTAAATTTTGTTACCTGCTTTTTTAAATTATGGTTTTAATTACGAGACTGAAATGCTTTGGGTTATGTTTGTAATCACTGAACGAGAATAAACAACACCCTAATAATAGACCTTATTCAGAGCAGCGCCATGACAGGTATGAAAGCGAGACTGAGGGATAAACTTACCGTGTTTTCAATGGCATCCGCTGTATAAAGCTCATAGATCACTTATAATTTTCCACAGCTCAAACTGTCTGGAGGTTTCTTTGTCTACTTAAACTTCTTGGAAAGATATTTTTTTGCAGTGTGTCGTCAGCAGAACAGATCAAAGATGCGACTGATGTGAGTCACGAGCTCTCCAACCGGCCTCGTGGCCTAATGGATAAGGCGTCTGACTTCGAATCAGAAGATTGCAGGTTCGAGTCCTGCCGGGGTCGTATCTTTAGTGAAATATCTTTAGGGATTATTAAACAGTCACTGGGGAACTAAACTACTGATGAGTTTAGCTACAACTCCGAGTCCCATGTGTATGTGGTGTGAAGCAGTGATATGATAAACCAGTGAAGTGTACTAATATGCGTAAACTAAATAAAAAGAGGGTGTTACACATAGACAGTAAAAAATTGGGTATTACAGCATCCTTCACTCTCATATGAATGTTATTGGCTGTGATAGATCCAGCATCAACTGAACTATATAATTGTGTAGTATAGTCTATAGTGAAATGAAAAACTATATCAAATGCATTTTTTTTATTCAAAATGTTCTTTTATAGTATAAAGGTGGATATATAAGCATGTCCAACTTTATCAGCATGCGTTGCACACAGAAGTATACTATATTTTATCGCCCAGCTCTAATCTGCTAAATGCGACTTTAAGGCATGATTATAATAAAATATTATAAACATTGACATGATTTTTTTTCTGTAATGCTGCTTCGAAACAATGTGCGTTTTGAAAATAAATACAATTTGTCTTGACTTACGCTCAAATGTTAACGTTAAGGTTGCTTTAAAGTGACAATGGTTAGTTTAAAGGTCAAGTTTGTAAGATTTTCTTAAATGTTAAAGTACATTCTCTTAACCTAGTTTAATGTTCACATTGACTACTATTAGTCTGCCCGCCGTCAATCTCTTTCCAGCTCAACCAATAGCGTGCATTTGGGGCGTGGCTTCTTTTCACCAACAATTAACACACAGTAAACACAAAAGTAGAGCACATTCATTTATCTTTATTTCATATAGATCCAACTGTAAAGGCAGTTCAAATAAATGATGTGCATATTGTAATATTACTAGAGTTCATTAACATAAAATACAATACATCTACAATACTTTATAACACCCTTAATCTAACATTCTCCCATATTAATTCAACATATCACAATGGCCAACTTATGGCTATTTAATATACTGTGGTACTTTAACACTTTAAGTCAATGCCACTCGCAACAAAATCTTTCAATTTTGGCAATTTCTAGAATCCCTGAAATTAGATTTCCTTTTAACATTTCATACAAATATTTTTTCATTCTTTCTTTTTTAACCCTACATTTACAGCATTTTAGAAAGAACAACCTGAATTATACTTTAATTTAGCAAATAAACCCTTAAGTATCTTCCTGTCAAATAGCGTAGCACCATGTTTGCATGCTGTCCTGCCTTCCTCGGGCTCGGCAGTGGAAAGCACCAAGAACCACAGATTTATGTGTGGTTAATGCAGACCCTACAGTAAAGTACAATATAAAATCGACAAAAACATAAAAACACTCGAAGACAAATAACAAGCACACACAATGGCTCAAACAGAACAGTGTTTTTTTTAGCAGCATAAGGACTGCAAGTGTGGAGGTCTTAGGTGTCCTCTGGACTCACATCAAGCTTTCTCTGAGGGATGTAGAAGTTTTTGGGAACTGTGGTGTTGCTTACAGTAGAGAAGGAGACGGGTGTGTGAAAGAAACTCTGCTGGAGGGCTTGACCGCCTTTAGGTGTGGTTACTAAAGCCTGCAGGAGAGAGAGAGCAAATATGCAAATTACTGTCTTAAACAACCATGGACTATTCACACAAACCAAGGAAGGCTCAAAGTTACTGATATGGAAATTAGACTATAGTCCAAAAGCTTTAATGTTTTTAAAAGAAGTCTCTTATGCTCAGCAAGGCAATATTTATTTGATCGGAAATCCAGTAATATTGTGAAATATTATTACAATTTAAAATAAAAGGTTTCTATTGAATATATTTTGAAATGTCATTTATTTGTGATGGCAAACTGAATTGTCAGCATCATTACTCCAGTCTTCAGAGCAGTGCTGGGTAGATTACTTACAAACTGTAGTCCGTTACTGAATACCAATTACATTGTTGAAATTGTAGTTAGTATTGTAATCTATTGTTACACATTTGATTACTTTTGATGTGACTTGTTTAAAACAAATACTATATCGATAAAAAATATTTTTGTTATCAACAACATGAAGTGCATTAAACAATAATAATTGATTAAATCAATTATTAATAATAATTGATTAAATGTAAAAAATGTTAAAATAAAAACAATACAATTAAAACGAAGAAATATTGTATTTGTTTATGCTGTGTGGCCTCTCAATTTTCCATGACATTCTAAACATAAGCAATAGTTTATACACACACACACACACACACACACACAAAGCGCCACATAATCCATTATAAATAATTCTAATAAGATCATTTTATATGTTGATTTGATGTTTAACATTTCTTATTATCAATGTTGAAAACAGCTGTGTTGCTTAATATATTTATGTGGAAACAATAATAATTCTTTTTGGTGATTAGAAAATTCAAAAGGAAAACATTTATTTGAAATGAAAATCTTTTGTAGTTGTCACTTTAACATTCATCAATTTTTCATTCATCCTTGCTGAACAAAATTATTTATTTATTTGGAGGAAAATAAAATCTTACTGACCTCAAACAGGAAAATACTACAGGCACAACACAATTTGATATTTTGTTATTGGCCAGTTTTTTTAAAATTATTTTTATTAATTTGAAGCAAAAAAAGATTTTCAACAGTTATCCATCTAGTCTAATGTAGATTATAATATTTTAACTCATTATATTATGAATTGTTAATATATATGGTAATACTAATTTACATTATATAATTTCACAAAATAAATAAATAAATCAGCAGTAACTTGTACATAATCTCTTACAAAGAATTGTATTGCGTCGCAGTTGTTGTACCTGTGGTATGCTGATGAGGGTGACGGGCTGTCCGTGTATTGAGGCCGGCTGCAGAGCTCGGCCAGGAGACAGGGGCTTTACAAAGATCATGCCCTGGTGAGGGAGCCCTCGGTGGGGAGATGGAAGTGTGCTGGACGCCTCAGGAGTGGAGTTTGGTGTGGTGGTGCCGGGGATAAGGCCCAGGTTCTGCAGTGTGAAGTTGAGAATAGCAGGACTGGGGCTGTGGATGCGATGGCCGTGAGAAGGAAAGTGGGACATGTGCGGTATCCGGTGGAGAGGGAGCCGGGTGGGGGTAACTTCTTGAGGAAGATGGGGTCTGGAACCTGGAAAGAATGGGAATGGCTGTATCAGTGATTGTTCAATTCATTACATGCAAGTTTAACTGTATGAATACCGCTCTGGACAAAAACCCATTTGGCTTGGTAGGTCACCGTGATTTTGCCAAGTAATACATGTTCCTAGATATTTTGTTGATCCTGGAACAACATTCCTGTCTCAAAATTTAGTCTAACCCTATCCCTACCCCTAAACCAGGGGTGGGGAACGTTGATCCTGGAGGGCCATTGTCCTGCAGAGTTTAGCTCCAACCCTAATTAAACACACCTGAAGCTAATCAAGGTCTTCAGGATTGCTAAAGTTACAGGCAGGTGAGTGTTTTTTTCAGGGTTGGAGCTAAACTCTGCAGGACAATGGCCCTCCAGGATCAACGTTCCCCACCCCTGCCCTAAACCCAACCCTACCAATAGCTTATCCCTAAAATCAGAGGGAAATGATAGATGAATAACACTGATATAGAAGCACCTAACCCTGGTTGTAAGCCTTAACCTGACATAAACTGTAAACGTTTCCCTTTAATCTGATTGGTTGTTTGGAATATTGTTCTAGGATCAACAAAGATGTTGATCCAGTAACATGTTGTTCTTTGTGAAATCAAGTTCACCTGGCTAGTCTAATGCTCACTGATGTTTATTGTGAAACATTCTGGACTATATGACATCTCATCTATGTTGATTCTATCCGATTGATAACTGGAATCTGGATAGGTGCTTATCTTGGGTACTTGCATACCTGCGTTTGGGGTGTGGTAGATATTGTATGTTGGCGTGGAGGCTCTGGAGATTTCTCCAGTGGAGTACTGTGGATCTCTGAAGTTGAGGATGGACTGCTGAGGGATCGGAATCAAATAACCTGCAGGGATCAAAGTCTGATGCAAACAAAAGAAATTACAGTCAAGATTGTAACTCTTTAATGAAAATAAAAAGCAAAACACACCTAAAACAATTAGGATAATTCCTACATAAGGAATTTTCGAAGATGTGTGATTCCAACCTCTGTATGCATGGCTCCAGATGGCAGCCCCATGTCCTGAAAGGGAACGCTGATCTTCTGGGCCTGCGACTGAGGTGGTCTAACAGGGGTCAGTCCTGCCTCGTTGTCTGAGGTCTGAACCTTCTCCTCCTTCTCCAGGAAGGTCTCCACGCTGTGCTCCAGAGGCGCTGTGCTGGTGGGTAATGAGGGAGGCTGGTTCTCACAGGGCTTGGTGAACTCTAGATGCAGGGCTCTCGGGGAAGGCCGGTGGGAGACAAAAGACCCTCTACGGGCCTTTAGACGAGCTTGCAGAATCTCACACAGCTTTGGAGAACCGCTCTTAATAGGAAACAAACACCAGAAGGTTGAAATTGTTACTAAATGTAGCCAATCGAAGTTTTTCACCCCAATGTCGTTCCAAACCAGCAAGACTTTCGTTCATCTTCGAAACAAAAATGAAGATATTTGAATGAAATCTGAGAGCTTTCTGTCCCTCCATTGACAGCTACACAACTACCATTTTGACGCTTCAAAAAGTTCATAAAGAGATCGTAAAACGAATCGAGCTGTTTAGTCCAATATTTCTGAAGAGACCCGATCACTTTATACGAACAGATTGAATTTAGGCTTTTATTCACATATAAACATTCATAATCTCACATATCAGTTGTGGTAAACGGAACTCAAGTATGTTCGCTTGACATGCGAGAAGTTCTCAGGAACCAATGAGGTTCATTCTCGTGTTACGCAGCACGTTTGAGCTTTAGTAAGAACCAATGAGGTTCATTCTCGTGCTACGCAGCATGTTGGAGCTTTAGCAAGAACCAATGAGGTTCATTCTCGTGTTACGCAGCATGTTTGAGCTTTAGCAAGAACCAATGAGGTTCATTCTCGTGTTACGCAGCACGTTTGAGCTTTAGCAAGAACCAATGAGGTTCATTCTCGTGTTACGCAGCACGTTTGAGCTTTAGCAAGAACCAATGAGGTTCATTCTCGTGTTACGCAGCATGTTTGAGCTTTAGCAAGAACCAATGAGGTTCATTCTCGTGTTACGCAGCATGTTTGAGCTTTAGCAAGAACCAATGAGGTTCATTCTCGTGTTACGCAGCATGTTTGAGCTTTAGCAAGAACCAATGAGGTTCATTCTCGTGTTACGCAGCACGTTTGAGCTTTAGCAAGAACCAATGAGGTTCATTCTCGTGTTACGCAGCACGTTTGAGCTTTAGCAAGAACCAATGAGGTTCATTCTCGTGTTACGCAGCATGTTTGAGCTTTAGCAAGAACCAATGAGGTTCATTCTCGTGTTACGCAGCATGTTTGAGCTTTAGCAAGAACCAATGAGGTTCATTCTCGTGCTACGCAGCATGTTTGAGCTTTAGCAAGAACCAATGAGGTTCATTCTTGTGTTACGCAGCATGTTTGAGCTTTAACAAGAACCAATGAGGTTCATTCTTGTGTTACGCAGCACGTTTGAGCTTTAGCAAGAACCAATGAGGTTCATTCTCGTGTTACGCAGCATGTTTGAGCTTTAGCAAGAACCAATGAGGTTCATTCTCGTGTTACGCAGCACGTTTGAGCTTTAGCAAGAACCAATGAGGTTCATTCTCGTGTTACGCAGCATGTTTGAGCTTTAGCAAGAACCAATGAGGTTCATTCTCGTGTTACGCAGCACGTTTGAGCTTTAGCAAGAACCAATGAGGTTCATTCTCATGTTATGCAGCACGTTTGAGCTTCAGCAAGTACCAATGAGGTTCATTCTCGTGTGTTAACATTTACAAAATATTCTATATCTATATATTTTTTAGCGAACACATCAAGTAACCTCACCTTTGGCTCTATCCGCTGCAGTTTGGATGGACTTCCCACTAAGCTCTTTTCTCCACATGCTCGTTTAAGGGTTGGGGGACTTGTCGGCTCTGTACCGTGTGATGACTGGTGGTTGGTTTGGTTACTGTTAGTCATGGCAGCCGGTGATGTCTTTGCGTTTGCACTCCCTGGGCTCTCAAATGTCATTGAACGGACCGCTAGGCTGGTGGGCTGTGGTCTTAGAGAGGTGGGGTGCATGTAAACAGCATATGACCCACCTGCCTGGTGCTGAGGAAAAAGAACCGGGATGATCGGGGAACACTTAGTCGAAAGGTATGAGATCGCCCCAGCGGGCAGAACTGGGATCTGCATTCCTGAAGGCCCATAAGGCTGATGATTGCTAGAAGACGAGGATTCAGATGAGTGTGAAGGGCTTGCGTTCAGAGCGTCCGTCACCTCATTGTTCGGTTGAACATGATGGACCCTGCAAGGCAAATCCTTAGGTGTTATGTCTGAAATTGGTAGTTCACCGTCTTTTTTCCGTTCTAAGAAGCAGAAGTTATGTTTACTTACGTCGATTGTTCATCTAGTTGCTTTTTGCAGATAGCAGCCAGATGGGCCATTTTGTTTGTGTAGAACTCACTGTTTGCAGAATCACCTATCAGACAAGAGATGGATCATTAGTTCATTATCAGAACATTATTTGGCTCTGTAAGATTTTAGTTAACATGAACTAACAATGAACAATATTTTTACAGCATTTATTAATCTTATTTCATGTTAATTTTAGCCTTTACTAATACATTTTTAAGATCAAATGTTGTATGTTAACATTAATTAATGCACTGTGAACTAACATGAAAATTTATTGACTAATATTAGTCAATACAGGTTAATAAAGGCTGCTTACAATATATTATTCATTGTTAGTTAATGGATTAACCTTAATGTGTTACCACTTTTTATGTTTTTGAAAGTAATCAAAAACACGCTCATCAAGGCTGCGTTTATTTTTTATAAAAAATACAGTATAGTCAAGTCACATTTATTTATATAGCGCTTTATTAAATACAGATTGTTTCAAAGCAGTTTCACAGTGATGACGGGAAAATGATGCATTTCAGCTGTTGTTCAGAAACAGTAGTATTGTAAAAATTATTACAACTTAAAGTAATTGAAATAGTGTATTTTAAAACATTCCGATGATGCAAAGCTGAATCCTTGCTAAAAGTATTAATATCTCTCTCTCTCGATTTCAAAGAGACAATCTCAAGCTGGGAGGCAGGAGGAAGACAAACTTGAATCTTTTACTATTAATAATGACTGACCTTAGTTGATATCTGAAAATAGAAAATTCCCACAGAAAACAGAAGATGATCAGTCAGTTGCTTGCTTACGATAAAACAACAATAATGGCTCACCTGTCATTTTAACAGGACTAGAAGGTGCAGAGTTTATTTTCCTGCGGTCGCTCTGTATGCTCTTAACCAGCTTGACTAAAGAATGGTGGCGGGTAAAACCTCGCTTTGTTCCGGGGGAGGAAAAGAGATTTTTAGCACAGTTATCAACAGAGGAACGAGACTCCAGAGGCCGTGATGCTGATGATGTAGTAGAGGTCCCCAGAGCTGTAAACATAACAATAAATGATATAAGAAGTGAAAACATGCACATTACATCATAAACACCATAAGTCTGATTAAGATTATAAACAAGTCAGACAGGTCACACTCACCCTTTGGAGATGGTAAGTCTTCTGGTCCAGTCCATTTGAAAGCAGGCTTTCTTCCTCTATCCTCAGTCACATGCACTTTCTTTATCAGCTCTAGGCTGCTCAGAACATTTGCAATGTCATAAAGTCTGCGGATCTTAGCTACAAACAGAAAAAAGGAATAATCAGTTCAATCTTCACTACAATCACAGGAAAATTACAGAGTTTTAGGGTAAGTTTACATGACAACGATGTGACGTGAACATGACACTTCGTAAAGAAAAATTACGCGCCTATAGACTGAACACGTAATACGCATGATGACATCAACTTTTTGTAGTTTACAGATGATAACAGTATATATTTTTTAAAAAGTGCACTTTGAACCCCGTTTACAGGCCCACAAAAAGCTGTTGTCATGTAAATGAATGGCCAAAACGAGTAAAAAGTTTTTTGGTTTTTTTTCAAAACGTTGTCATGTAAACCACCAAAGCATTTTTAGCCAACTGAAGCCACCTAGCTGTGAGATTTGCATTGAGCGTTTTGGCAGCGCAGCGTTTTTTGCTTGCTATGATATGGAATATCCGAGGAAGTGTTACTAGTATCTCATCTCACAAATAGTTTGTTTCTGTATCGTTTCTGTTTAAAAGTGTCGATACAATGTAAAGTATTTGCTTTTAAATTATTTTGTTCCGTTATTATGCTTGTTGTTGTCATCTGTTGACGTTGCACAAGCAGAATCTGGAGGTTGGTCAGTGTTGTATTTGTCCCGCCCCTCCTCCACTGTGATTGGACGGTTAGGTAAAAAGTGACAGCGATGAGCGCTGTGTTTTACTCAAAGTTGAACATTCCTCAACTCAAGGCGACTGGTAAAAAACGCCAATTGGAAAAATACACTAGCCGCAGGAAAAAAACGCTTTGGTGGACACACACGGCCATAGACTCAAGTTTTTATTGGTTGAGGACATTTGATTACCGGTATGCACTTTTTAAAAGATTTGTATCGGTTTTCAACCACCAAATGAAACGGAAAACATAAGTGCCCTCCACTGTCACAATGATCAGAGTGTATTTTATATGTACGATGAGAACAGCACTCACTTTTGAACTTGTTTTTGTCCTGATCCACCAACTGATCTTCACCGATGAGGATCTTGGCAGCTATTTCAAGACTAACCACTGGAGGGCTGGACACCAGGAACAACATGACGAATTTCTGACTCATCACTCTCAGAGATTTGTCTTTTCGACTATTCGCTGAAGCTGCAGGGAAAAGGCAAAGTTAACAGGTTTTATTCACGGAGTATGCATAGCACGAATCTGTGTTTTAACGAACAAATCATGATTTGTTTTGTTACTTTCGTACTAAAAAGCTTTCTAATTTTACGAAGGGTGGCATTATAACCATGTTGAGATGAAATGTTAGACATATATTTCATCTTAAATGTGCAGTATGTAAAATTGACAGCTAGCGGTTGAAATGGTTAACGTTACTGCAGTCAAAAGTTTCTCACGACAAGTCCTCCTCAAGACTCAACGCTCTTGTGGGCTGCCAGATTAAGAACACGCAACAGGAACGAACGCTATTGACGACAGAGAGCCTTACACTGTGAGATGATGAGTTTTAATACGCCTCTGGTCGTAGAGCTTTTTAGATGGATGCTGAGGCTTTTAAGGTCGGGTAGAATCGGCAATCTCTGACCTAGTTTGTTTGCTGGCTTCCATGGGTGCGATATGCTGCGTTTTCTGCCCACTGCAAACTAGGTGTGTTGAAATACTATCGGGTAAATTGGCAGTGTGAGGAATCACACAGACCAAAACAAAAACAGACATTCCCAAACAGAACTAACATCTCGAAGTAGAATAACTGGCTAGAATTGCTTTTCGGAGAAACAAGTACCGTATTTTCCGCACTATACGGCGCACCGGATTATAAGGCGCACCTTCAATGAATGACCTATTTTAGAACATTTCTCATATATAGGGCGCACCGGATTATAAGGCGCATAAGATACTGCAGTCAAACGTTTGACTGTGTTTGCGTTATGCATCCACTAGATGTGCTAAAGGGAATGTCAACAAAACAGTCAGATAAAGTCAAACTTTATTAAGCGTTCTGACAACTCCGTTCACTCCCATGGTAACGTTGTTCAAACGTTAAAGGAAAACTCGGGTCGCGCGCGAACTCGACAATCAACTACTGTGGACTTCGACCGAAAACAGGAAGTAAATACGGGTATGTGAGCCGGCTGAATAAAGAGATTATTCCTGCCTTCATGAAAGCTCAGATCACAGTTGAGACTGATATATCAGCCCAGGCATCCACGGTCCATTGGCAGATAGTGGCGTAAGTCGCCCGGCGCTGTCTCCCCGTCTTTGTGAACGTGTGTTCACCATCCATAAATAAGGCGCTCCGAATTATAAGGCGCACTGTCGTTTTTTGAGAAAATTAAAGGCTTTTAAGTGCGCCTTATAGTGCGGTAAATACGGTATGTGAACTTAGCATGTTTCCTAAATCTCTACAAACATATTATGGTAGATTTTTGCTTTAGTACAGTAAAAAAATAAATAAATACAATCTACACCTTAAAATATATTTCATCATATACAGTAAGAAAAATTGCATTTCAGCAGCTGCGATGTTTGACCTGGAGTGACTTATAGTCAAGTTTAACTTATTTTCTGGAAATACGTTACTCCATATTAACATTAGAACAAAATTAAGAACAAATTTATGTGCGTACGTATTAGGGGTGGAACGATACACAGAAGTCACGGTTCGGTTCATACCTCGGTTCAGACATCACGGTTCGGTACGATTTCGGTACAATGGAGGGAAAAGCAAAACAAATGCAGAAGGCATTGTATTTTTTAAATAAGTTTTATTAATAAAGGCATAGAACCAGTTTATTTGTAGTGCACTGACAATAGTTTTATATAATTAGTTTATTAATTAAATTAATAAAAAGACAAAAAGACCTTGCGATATGTTTGGTAATTGTACCTGAATTCATTTAAAATTAATTTGCTATATTTCAGATCAATATATTTGTTTTCCTTAATTTTAATTAACATTATTAATTAACAATGTAACATTATTCTCATCTGAATTATAAATAATTGATTTCTGTATAAAATAATACTACCATTAAAAACACATTCGATTTTCTTTTTTAATCAATGTAGAATGTGTAAGATTAGTGCTCCGAGGACAAGAAATGAAAACCAATGCGATGAATGTCCAAAAGATGGAACACACAGACTGTTTTGAAATGGAGTTGGATAAATATGTTTTGCTTTTAAAAGAGAGTGTGTGTGTGTGTGTGTGTGTGTTTTTGGTTAGGTGACAGTTGTAGGTTACAGTTTGACAAGAGTTTACAGTGTGACAAAAGCACAATGTTGTGTTTTATTGCGAGTGTACACACATTTAAGTAAGGTAACTTTGCAGGTTTAATGATCTGTATGAACAAAATGACGGAGTATGTTTCCACTGTTCGATCGCGGCCGCGCCTCTCTCTCACACACACACTCCAGCATTGCAATCTTGACATCGCAGCCTGTTCATTATGCGGTCACACCAAACGCGAATAGAGCGTTAAATTCGCCTCTATCGCGTCTAGTTCGACGCTAGTCCAAAGCGAATAGGACGCGCGTATAAAGCCAACGTTTGAAGTGAACGCGCGTTCAGAGCTAAGCCGATGGTACAGTTTATGTGTCCCTAGAGAACCCGCGTATCTAACAGTAGTTCCGCATTACATTAATTAATTTTCACGCGAGTTTTATTTATTTTTATACCGTGTATTCTCCGTGTAAATTCGTACACCGAACCGTGACGCCCGTACCGTTTCGGTTCGGTACGAATACATGTACCGTTCCACCCCTAGTACGTATGTGTTGTGAATTAGGCGGACGTTTTTCGTGAGAAGAACACACAGTTCTCCTGTGTGTACAAATACAAAATAATGAATGAGACCCAATGTCAGGCTGTGAAATAGTTACTGTACCTGCTTTAGGATCTGTTCCTGAAAGCTCTGCTTGACCAGAGTCTCCATCCATATCAAAACCGGACATTTCTTCATTCTCCTTCTCCTCTCCCTCCAAGTCGAACTCTCTCTCTTCTCGCTCTAGGTTCCTTTGACGGATCTGGTGCATCAGTTGCTCATAGCGGTTCTCTTTGCCAGCCCGCTTTAGCACGGCAAGTGTCTGCGCAAGTTTCACCCGGCCGTGCCACGTGTAGCAGTTCTTGGCCAGCCGGCTGACCATGTTCAGGCTCTCGAGAACATTCATGATGTCGTAAATACGACGTCGTTCCACATCTGAGAGGGTAGTGAGAATGGAAGCCATTAGGATTGATGAAACATACATTATTGATGACTGAAATAAGTAGTTTTGTTTGATCAGCGAGTGACTTACTCAGTTCGTTTGCCACATCGTCGAGGCTGATTTTGTTGTTTACAGCAGGATTGGGGTAGTTTGGGTACCTCGCAAGAAATTTGTAACACAGCAAACCAAGGCTTTTGTCTTTACGACTTATCTGGAGCTTTTCTACTTCTTCCCCTTGCTCAGTCTCCTGTGTGGCACGACAGTGGAAAACAAAGCAGTTTAGCAATACAGAGGAAGAACTGCAACAAATACTGAGACAGAGTTACACACACAGACTTGTACTGATGATACCTGTGAGTTCTCCGATTCGCCACTGTCCACGGCTTGTTCTTTCTCGCGGTTGCGAATCTCAGGACTGGCCGCACTGATAAGCATCTTCAGGTTGGAGGTGGGTGTCCAGGGCTCGCTAGACGGTGCCTCAAGGCCCTTAGTAGGTGTTGTCAGGGGCCCCATGTTACTATGGCTCTCAAGTGATGAAGCTTCAGATGCTGAAGCCTTATTTGAGTTTTTTAGTGGTGTTTGTGGTTCGACAAAAACATGCCCCTGTTCCATAGAAAACACAATAGGTCATCATGATCATAATCACACTTTTTAATTTTCATGTAGTAGGACAATAATTTGTTCTGGTTCTTCAAGTCACTATTTTGTTGACATTTGTTAAACCAAAATACTTGTAACTGACCTTGTCATTTGTTGATGTTGCCTTCAATGGACTTCTTAAAGGCTTCTTGATTAATTTTTGACCTTCTGATAATGTACTGGACATTTTCCACCTAAAAAACGAACACACGAGGCAACGTTTCAATAATCAACGTTCACTTACACTGTTTAAATTACAATAAATCAATCATACCGTTTCTTCACAGCATTATACAGTCTTGGAGACAACATTGTGAAGATCAGCCTCGGGTATAACCCACACACAGTTAAAACTAATTTTAAAAATGTAACAGATATGAATAAATGTGCATAAATCAAAAAGTATTTTGATTTCAACTTAGTGTTGATTTTTTGCGCTTAGCAATAACTGACAAGCGTTCCATCGAATGGCTATGGAGACCTTAAACGAAAACACACCCCAAACTGACAGCGGCCAATGAGAGGGCACGAGGAGGCGGGACTTCAACACGTCCCGCGCGCCTACACACTTTTTGAAATCTTGGCGCGGAATCTAGCAGATTGCAAAAGACTTAATCCGGAAGTTACTAACTTTACTACAACTTTAAAGAAATCGTTTAGCTGCCCGATTGTCTTGCGCTTTGAATAATTCAGCAGTCTAGACAAACTATTAATATTCCCGAGTTTTATAAATGAACTTACCCGACTAACGTTACTAGCATAGGTAGCTAATAACTCATTGACTTATCTGCTGTATATTGCATTTAAATTAGAATGTGGTATATAATAAGCGCTCGGGAATGAATTATGTACATATATACGTTCGTATTTACATCAAGATTGCAGTCATGTTGGCTCGTAACACTACAAAACTAGAGGTTTCAGTCAGTTAGCGCGGGTTAAAAATCCAGAGAGCCGCCAGTGTGATGTGTGTCCTAAGGGTAAATGTATGATAATGAAATGAAATTAACGTACGCATTATAGAACAAAACTTTGTTTTCGATTAATTTTAGTAAGTAAAACGAATGTTAGTAAGCCTAAGGCAAACAATCCTGAAACGTATCCGCAAGCTTACAGCCAACTAACGTTACCTCACATTACACAGAGTAAAATTACAAAAATATGACAAAATATAAAAAGCTACTCACCCAAAAAGAGAAATGTACCTCTCTCACATACTACTCGGCATCGGTCGTGCCTATAAATTGTATAAATCCGTAGGAATACTTTACAGGTACTGTAAGTATCACACGTTTACAGTTGCAGTTCTCCAAGAATTTCGGATCCAACACTTCTGTAAGTTAACCCAAGTCACATTAAAGTAACCGTGAATAAATAAAAAGAGGAAACAAACTGCCTTTGGTGCATAACTGAGGAAAAGTTGTATGTGTCCGTTTCCTAGTGAGTAAAAAAGTTTATTTGATCAGTCTGACCATTTCGTCCCGCCTAGATACTGGACACACAGCGCGCTACACCCCGCCCCGCCTCCACACTCATCTCCGCCAATCACAGCTCGAGGAACCCAGACTGGAGGTGGAGTCAGACTTCCGGCTGCTACTACGACAGCAGGTCATGGGGGTAAACAACTCGGTGAACCAGGTTGTTACTTGTTGGGCGAAATAAGCATTTGTCAGAAGTTCAACATTACCTAAAAACAATAATATGTTTGGAAAAATAAGAGCTGCAAAATGTGTTTCTATTTGTAAACATAATAATATTGATATTTACCTTTACTTTATATCTTTTCATTTGTTAATTCACTGTTTTTGATTTAATTATTTGTTTGTTTTATTTTTATGTTTATTCAATTATTGGCCGTATTTGTAATCTTCAAAACACATTTTCTTTCAGTTGTAAGAAGGGCCTAAAATTAACACCCGGTAAAAATCGGCGTTGGCAAGTATGTGAAACGGTGTTACGCGGCAGTTCGCCGGTAACATTTTTTTTAATTTTAACAATGTATTGACAAAACAATGATACTCTGGACAGTTTACGGGCCAGCGCTGCATCGTCACGAAAGTTTAAGCCTTGACAATTTAAGCGTAAGGAGGGGGGAGCTAATTTTGTTATTCGCGCGCTGCACCCAGAAAGCTGCGTCTCAAACAGCTTGCAGATACTGAATTGAGTTTCTTCTTCTTCTTGCACTTGAGCGGACAAATTCGCACAAAGTTATGTAAAAAATTAGCAAGTATCCTAGGAAACATAGTCGGTTATTATGTCTATAAACAGTTGAGAAAGTAAATGCATGTGTATCAGTATATTAGATCCGTGCATTCACTCTTAAAGTGACAGCAGCCTAATATCCCTGCTGTCTGTCTGTGTTTAATCAAACAACAAAGGACAAAGAAAAAAATCACTGCTCCTGACTGAATACCTTTTGTAACTTTATTAAGGATTAATTAATAAGGATGTTTAATTTATACAGTGAAGACTGTGTCGTGTTATTTTACATTTGCTTACTTTATTACAATTCTGTACCTGGAAACTTGTGTTAGACCTACCCGAAAAACCTGAAACTGTTTATTTCATTTGTTTCTTTGTTATATTGTATGTATTTGTATTTGTAATTAGATTTTTTGTTCTTAATTTATTACTGACTGTTTACTTTTCTGTATAATGTAGTCTGTTATAATGTTCCAAATTTACATTGGGCCAGTGGTTTTAGCCATGGTATCGAAATTGGAATAGAGAATTGTGATTTTTTTTTTCACTGGCATTTACAATTTTGGTGTCATAACTGCCTGTTTTTGCAAAACAGTTTCATAGCCGGTAAAATATATTTATGGCCGGTACATTTTCTTAAGTCAACGGCCATTGGCAGGTGGGCCAAAAAGTTAGTTTTAGGCTCTGGTTGTAAGTACAATTATCTGTTATTATCATTAATGTATATTATTATATATAATTAAACATTTTCTTTTCGCAAGAAACAGTATAAAATCTAACTTTTAAATATTAAACTAATCTAGATTTAGCATGCTATTATTTATGTTGATATATCGCTACCAACACCGCCTTTGTTTGCCGCTAGGTGACACTGTGCGTATTTGCTGTTGACGTTTCCATGGAGACGTTCAGCGGTATGAAGCGGCGAGAAAAGACTAGTGTGCGCGGAATGACGTAATGTGATGGATTGAGGCTGCTGTAGCGCGCGCTGGTCCCGCGTGCACTCACTCACACACACTCCAACTGCTGCTCCGCATCCCTCAGCGGACACCCAGCGCTCCTGTTTGGGGTGAGTTGTCTCTTTTATCTTCTGTTCTATCGTCATGAAGTAGATGCTCGGTGTAAAATATGTTTTTATCAAACCTCATTGATAAGCTTCACGGTTTGAATTGTTGTGCAATGTTACATTTTTATATTGAATTACTTAAAAACCAAAGGATCTCGACTACAATGCGAGCGCTGTGAAGGAGGGGTTGCTTGATGGCAGAGATATGATTTATTAAATTAAGAGCCTTTATCCCATGGATTGTGAAAAAAATGCCATAAGTCAGAATAATGTTTTTAAGTATTTTAAAAAACAATTCTTCAAATAAACATTTGTTTGTGTGTCGCGGCTTACGTATTGTTCCCGAAATCCAACTTGCCCAATATGTTAATTCAAGGGTTATAAAGTTTATCTAGACACGCTTGTTATTAATGGATGCCCTAATATGAATTGGGATATAATATAATTATCTTAAATCAATGTCAATGTGTGCAAGCTCGCGTTGTTCAGCAGAACGAAATATAATGCACGTGCACATCTAATAATACGACAAATTGCTTGTACTGTATTTAATTTAAACATTTAATCAATACTCTTGAAGTTAAACAGTTATTTTGCCCTCACTTAATTCTTTTTATATAAAAATAAAATTAAGTTTGCTTTGTCTTGTTTTCTTCTGTCACTCATGCACCTGCTTATGTAAAGAAGACCCAAGTCTGGAGCAAAAGTGCCTGGATCTCTGGATTTGGAGGATTTTACAAGAACAAACTGTGATGTAAAGCTGCAAGAGCATGACACTATGTCATTTGAAAGATTTCAGCTCGTCGGGAAAATGACTTTGTGAATACCGAAATGTGTAATTATGAAGTTGGGGTTGCTGGTCACAGGGGCCCTTCCCCCCTTCCCGATGCCTGTCACAGAGCAGCCGTGCTGGGCTTCATCTGAAGGGATGCACCATGGTGTGATCGCACGTCTGTCCTGCCCCAGACTCAATGAATCGCACGAATGAATGGACACTACTGTGGCAAAGGGAATTAGCTCGGTTGCATAGGGACTTTGGATTCGGGAACACTGGAGCAGGTCGGAGAGCGTTGGATTTTTATTTGAAGAAGTGCCGTGGATACTTCAAGGAGTGTTTTAGGAAGATGTCTGAGTCGGGAGCCGAGGCGTCTACATCTCAGCCTCAAAAGCGGAAGCAGGTAGTCCATGGTCTGGATGATCAGAAAAAGGTGAGTGTTTTGATTTGAGATACTCGTATATCTTACTTTTGAGGAGAGCAAAACTCCCACTCCCTACATTTAAAGCTGCCTGATCTTTTCCTAAATGCCCATAAAATGCTTTTGTAAATTCAGCTTCCAGATACAATGATTGTGCCTGGATTTGATTCTTCAGTCGCTGTTTGCAACATTTCAATCATTTACTCCTGGTTTCACAATATGTCAGTGCCATTGTTTTGTCTCAAGATGCACACCTGGGGGGTATTCCAGAAAGCAGGTTATGTGACATAAGCGGATAACCTCAACTTTCGGTTCCAAAAACGGAGGAAACTTTCAGGGTATGTAATTAGCCATAGCACTTACTCTCTGAACATAACCTACTCCAGAGCAGCTTCTGTTCAAGTTATGTTACAAGGTAATGTTAATTTTATTATAATATATAGCTATATCTCACACATCTTTGATCTGCATTCAGACGTTGTTGTTTTTTTTTTTGCAACAGGACGTTTTCATATGCTATCATCTATTTCTATAATAAAAGGCATATATGATATGATATACGGTATATCTTACCCTTCAAACAATGTAGAAGCAAAATGACTAAAAAATAAACTTATACAGCCATGTTATCTTTGCAATCACAGACTGTTATTTAGTTTAATCAGACTTTCTTTTTATTATATAATTAGCATCAAACAAACGTTATAGTTCTATTCACGGTGATTAAAGATTATTAAACGAAAAGATTGAAAAAATGATTGCACAACCACCGTGCAACCACCGTGCACAACCACCAAATAGGTGGCGATATGCACCAAGTATGTAAATCTGCATTAAAGCAGCACTAAGTAGGAATTCCGTTTTTGTCGGAATTCCTACTTAGTGTCGGAATTCCTACTTTTGTCGGAATTCCTACTTAGTCGCTGTGGAGTACTTGTACTGTCGTGAATAGCACTCACGCAGAGATGGCTCACACTCACGGCCGGATCCCCTCCCCCTGTACAACCGGTACCTGTTCAGTAGGATGGACGCTGTAACGAGTGGAAATAAGGTATGGCCCCTTTAAGAGCTGCGCGCGCCCAACACCACATGTATACGGCGCCGGGTTATTTCTGTTTGATGCTCATTTTATCAGAATTTTATCAGATCTGTTTTTTGCCGTAAAGCAATTTGTTACCTCACGAGACCTGATATCACACGATACTTCCTAACACTGAGGCCGGCGACTCGCCGGCCCAAAGTTGCAAGGGTGTTTTTGCGGCTCACAGGCACCAGGGGGGTGCGAGACGACCACCATTCAACACGAAATCAGTAGTATAAACATTACAATGACCCCAAAGCTGTTCGATTAAGGTAAAAAAGTTACTTAGTTCACCTTTGACAAAAGAACGAAAAGGCACGCTTTTTCTTACCGTCCGTTTCCATGGCGACTCGTCGATTCGTCGATGCGTTTTTGGAACCAGCATACCTCGAATAAGCAAGGTTTGGATTAATCAACCGAGAGTTCAGTGTATGTTTGACGGTAAGATAACCTTGCTTTCTGGAATACACACCAGTAATGTTTTTTTTCTAAGGCACGTTTATAAAAGCTACTTTAATGTCCTTATTAAACTAAGGCCTAATCCCGGCTTAATCTAAGCCTTGTCTGTGAAACCAGGCAATACAGTTTTATTTGAATGCTAAGGGAGAAACTTGGAACACTTTCACCTTGGCCATGCTGCACATTATCCGGTGATTTATGGTCAGCTGAGGCCGTGCACGTCCCTTGGCATATGGCCCAATAGCATAGCACCAGGTGCAATGGCCGCTTAATTGACTTGTGTTGAGATTTGTGTCTACACTTTATGACTGCTTGCAAATGCGTGTGCTGACCACAAAGCTTGTGGAAAATTTTAGACTTTATAGCAGTGAAGCGTGAGAAAAACGACGCCAGAGTTTTGGTGTAAATGTAAGAGTGTAATTTGCTTTGTTTTGTTTTATTCGAAATCCTTGGTTTACCAAGGCTCTCAGTGCAGATTATCAGTCATGCGAGTTGTATGATAAATTAAATAAACAGCTAGTAATGCACAATAACTTTAGGGGAGTCATCACAAACCTGAGTGTTTGCATCCGATCCGATTCGATCCAGTTTCGCCCCTTAGATCAGGCGCATTGTGCTCTCAAGAGCTGAGCTAATTGGCTTAGAGATTCCTCAAGGCCCATGTTTCACTTCCGTCTTTGGGAATCTGATTTTACATGTAAACGGATACCCGTTTGCTTGCCTCTCCAAGTATGACATGTTTTGCTTGGTGTAAATCCTAGCGTGAAGCGAAGAGATGAGGCTTGAGCTTCCTGGTTGCCCAGCTGGATCCTTTAGGGGCATTTTGGTTTCTCGCCCAGACTTAAAGGAGAGTCTTGAAGGACTATTAAAGTATACAGACTAATTTGACTGCAATGCTTGGTGGTGGATGGCTTTTTTCCACCGTCCTCTTTGGTTTGACTCGATTAGATATGCAAAATTGATCACCTGGGATTCTAGTAGAACATGAATTAATTAAAGTAGCAAAAAGCACAGCTGCTGTTTTCCAATTTTCCAGCATGATGAACTCTTGTCAGGACACTGAGTCGAACACACACCGTTACATCAAGAAGATCGTTGGCATAAAGACCAAAAATCAAATAACTAATTCAATTCAAAGCACATTCAAGTTATCCAAAGGATGATATGAATCAGAAATTTGTTCAGTACTATGAACATGACACGATATTTTGTATTGCACAATGGTTTCTGTTAATTGAAACCAGTGGTTTTGAATAGGTCTATCCGTCTGCTATATACGATCCATTGTTTGTGGAATAACAGGGGTCTCCCTGGATCTGACGCTAGGTGTTTCCCAATTACCTCATGCTATATAGATTTTCCTGAGAGAGCTGCTCCTGCTTTGGTTAATTGGATTTTCTCTCTACTATTGGCCCTGATTTTTTGATTACGTGTGTTCATCAAATGACTTTTCCTGGGAGAGTCGCAGGTAATGCACTTCATTCTGGAATTGCTCGTTGAGGTGAAGCTTACATCATTTTTTTCAATGTGAAGCTATGCATTTTAGATTAGGGCCTAGTAATGACAAAGAGCCAGTGAACTCCAGTCCTCCATTCATTGACAGCAAGAGGGGTGAATCAATGAAGAGGATGAAATACATTAATGAAAATAGGTATAATTGAAAAAGCATAGTGGCTTATTTTGAGTGGCGTCTTCATATATTCTAATGAATGTTTCCTTGCTTTGTTTTGCTTGGTGAAACGAATGTGTGTTCTGCATGATGTTCTTCAATTCTCACTGCAAAAACACAATTGGATTTTAATGGTTACATTTCCATTCATCTCAATACTTCGCTGCCTTATGCAGCCCTGCATTTATTTGTCTAAATTATTGGCTACTTTTGAATGTCCATTATGGAAGAAAATAATTTTTTTGGTCCCAAAAAAGGTTTCTCTTGATTGTATTGGTGTGCAATTTTGGTCTACGGTTTTTGTCTGTAATTTTTAGGGTTCAATCATGTTTTCGTGATATGTAAATCTGTAATGAAGGGATAAGTAGACAGTTGTGTTTTGTTGTAGTATACAGTTCCTTAGGACAAAAAGCAGTTTTGTAAGAACACACACATTTTCTTTTTTTAGATTTACGAATATCAATTGCATAGTAAAATTCCATCAAATTTAATTGAAAAATCCTTACATATTTTAAGATTTTTAAATGTGAAAAAAAAAATAGAGCTTAATAAAACATTTTGTATAAATCTTGATGGAACAAAGGAATGGACCATTTCAGTTTGTGATTCGTATTCATAAAAAAATATGTTTAAATTTATGAATATAAATCACATAAAACTTTTGTGGTTACGAAAATATTGTTTGAAAACGTTGTTAAAAACGTACTTGTACTTAAATAATTGTAATTATAATTTGATTATAATTTTAGAATTTGTACTTACCTACCTTTTTCTTTTCCCACTTTGATTTCTTAATTTAGAAAGCAAAAGGAACAATCTGTTAAATTATAGATTTTTCAGACTCTCAGGTTCATCTTTTGCTTGTTTTATCAACCACTGAAACCTACTGAGTTTCTGACTGCTGAAGAACCTTAGCTCACAAAGGTTAATTTCACAAACAGTCAGTCCTCAGACAAAATATTTATGCTTTTTGATTCATAACCAGACCCTTTCGAAACTAAGGGTGTATTCACACCTGTCTTGTTTGGTTCAATTGAATCGAACTCAAGTTCGTTTCCCCCCTTGGTGAGGATCTTTTGGGCAGGTGGGATACAGCAATCGCACTCATGCGCGGACCAAACAACCGTACCGAGACCAGACCCAGCTGAAGACGTGGTCTCGGTCCGGTTCCAAACGAACTCTGGTATGGTTCGAATTTCTGTCCAATGAATGGATGACCTTAGCACACGTGTGGTTTTGTTTACAAATTTTGGTTCACTTGCAAAAAGGGCAGTGTGAAAGCGAACCACAACCACACCAATAAAAAGAAAATCAACATTGTATTTGGTCCAAAGCAAGTGCGGATTTTCCTGGTGTGAATACACCCTAAGCTAACACGAAAAGGGTGATTTTTACACTAATGTTTGCATAAAAGAGCAGAATTTAATCATATTGAATTTTCCTACTTTTTAAATTGTAACACCTCTTTGGTTGGCATGGCTACTGTGTCAGTAGTGTACACTAGACCAAAGGCTGTGTTTGTTGAGGCCACACACAGTAGAAACTGACAGAGCCAGCAAGTGCTGTTATCTTTCCTTCACTATTTAGAGTAGTTTTGCCTGAAGACTCTGTTTAAAGGGATAGTTCACCCAAAAACGAAAACTCTGTCATCATTTATTCACCCTCATGTCGTTCCAAACCCGTAAGACTTTCGTTCCTCTTCGGAACACAAATGAAGATCTTTTTGTTGAAATCTGAGAGATTTCTGTCCGTCCATTTGGCAGCAATGGAGGGAAAAAAATGTTCTCTTCAAAAAAAATATTG